TGGCTTTGAACTGTGATTCTCAGATCTCAGCCTTCTGAGAAGCTAGGATTACAGGCATGAGCCACCGGCGCCTGGCTCTTTGTTTTATTCTTGAATTCCGTATCATTTTGAAATTAAACCAATTCTTTTAAAAGACTAAAAAAAAGAGTAAATTAGAAAAAGTAGAAAAAGAAGTAGATAAAATAAATAAAAACAAACCCTGGCACAAGTCTTCATGGATCGAGGGCAGAGCCTGAGGATTCTTCCTCATATTCACAACTTCGCAGGCACCTCATGACCTCACACACAACAATTCTGCTTTTGACCCATAGCTGTGTCTCCTAACCCTCTGAATTTAAGGTCAAACAAAAAAAAATACCACTCTTAAAAGCACAGCCATACTGGGTGCCGGTGGTTCACACCTGTAACCCTAGCTATTCAGGAGGCTGATTGCTGAGGTCATGGTTCAAAGACAGCCTGGGCAGGAAAGTTCTCCAATAAAGTATTCTGAAAGGGCCAGAAATGGTGCTATGGCTCAAGTGGTAAGTTCTAGCCTGGAACCTGAGAAGCTCAGGGACAGCACCCAGGTTCTGAGTTCAAGTCCCAAGACTGGCAAAAAAAAAAAAAAGGAAGCACACTTGTGGGCACATATTCACCCCCCACAATGACCAACCAACATGATTATGACTCCATGGCTACTGGTGGTCTCTAGATGATTGACCCCACTGTTGAGTGTGTGGTGCCCCAAATTCCCCGGGTCCCCCAAAGCTGATAAACACATCACCAAATGGGCAAAAGAGCTAAGGAGAGACTTGTAAGAAAAAGACCTAAGAATGGTAAAGAAACATAGGGGGAAATGCTCATCATCCCTGGACAGAAAAGAAATACAAATCAAAACAACTCTGAGATTCCATCTCATCCCAGTTACATTGGCCAACTTTGTGAACTCGAACAACAAACCTTGGCAGGTAAAAATGAACCCTACTGTACTGTACTGCTTATAGGAATGTAAACCAGTACAACCCCTCTGGACAGCAGTCTGGAGGTTCCTCAAAAAACTAAACATAGACCTTCCCTTTGACCCAGCCATGCCACTCCTAGGAATCTACCCAGAACATCACAAGCCAGAACACCGTGAAGACACTTGCACAACCATGTTCATTGCTGCACTCTTCATAGCAGCCAAGTTGTAGGAACAGGTTAGATGCCCAACAGTAGACTGAGTGGATCCAAAAAAGAAATGTGGTATCTATACACCATGGGATTTTACACAGCCATTAGAAAGAATAGTATGCCATTTGTAGGGAGATGGATTGACCTAGGACAAATCATGTTAAGTGAGATAGGCCAAACAAAACAAGTGGTACATAATTTCTGTCATAGAGACGAGCTAGTTCTAAATACACTGGCCCATGATAAATTATACAAGACTCTAGGCATTCACACAGTGAGACTAAAGAAGACTCTTGCAAGAGGAACACAAAGGCCCAAATGCTTATGTGCCTCTGATCATATAAAGTAATCTTCATTGAAATGAACTCCAGGAAATGGGAACAAGTTTTTTTTTTTTCTTTCATTGCTGTTTTTCTTTCCTTTTTGGGGGGGTCAGTCTTGGGGCTTGAACTCAGGGCCTGAGCACTGTCCCTGAGCTTTTTTTTTTTTTGGGTCCGGTTGTGGGGCCTGAACTCGGCGTGGACGCTGTCCCTCAGCTCTTCAGCTCAAGGCTAGTGCTCTACCACTTGAGCCACAGCGCCACTTCCAGCTTTTTTCTTTTTGCTTATGTGGTGCTGAGGAATCAAACCCAGAGCCTCAGGCTTGCAAGACAAGCGCTGTACCACTGAGCCATCTTCCCAGCCCTGTCCCAGAGCTCTTTTTGCTCAATGCTAGCTCTCTAGCACTTTGAGCCACAGCTCCACTTCCAGTTTTCTAGAGGTTAATTGCAGATAAGTCTCATAGACTTTCCTGCCCAGGCTGGCTTGACCCTCAATCCTTAGATCTCAGCCTCTTGAGTAGCTAGGATTCTAGGTGTGAGCCACCAGTGCCAGGCTTTATTTTTCATCATGTTTATTCACTTATCTGTCTTTGGGAGGGTTGGGGTGGGGGCACAGAAATGGAGGGACAAAGGGTGAACAAATGCAGCAGTGCTATTCATTAGACACTGTGGCAACTCTAAAACTTGTGGGTGGGGACAAGAGGGAGAAAGTGGGAGAAAGCGAAGGAAAAGGTGACTTTATCCAAAAAAAGAAACCTATTCATTATGTGACTTACATAACTATAACCTTTCTGTACATCACCTTTATCATAATTAGAAAATAAAAAAGATCCCCAGGTCCCCTACCCACCCAATACAAGAGAGCCTTACACCAGCCAGCACAGAAAACATCGCTTTATTAACTGCATTTGCCAACAAATGAGGAGTGTCGAGGGGTCCTCAGACACAGACCCTGGTGGAGGTCAGCGTCTGGAAGCCCCCCCAAGAGTGAGCAGGACAGGATGGGGGTTTGGGGGCTATGCAGCAGCAACACAGAACCATGCAGGGCACAGAGGTACTGGCCGCACGGGAGCAGCCGTACATTCTATTGCTCGTTGAGGCTGCCAACACAGAACAATGTACAAAAAGGAGAAATAGGTCTTTTGCAGTAATGAAAAATACATTTTTTTCTCTACAAAGGAATCTTTTCTAATACAAGAAAATAAATATTGCAACATAAGCCAAAAATAATTTAAAATTGCTCTTTTCAATATATTTTCAATATTTCTCTTGTATATTAACAAATGGCACATCACTTTTCTTTGAAACAAAGACAGAAGGGGTCTCCTCCTGTGACATTCATGTTATTTCCCCCCCACACCGCCACCCTCCCTCAACACCCCCCCCCAACCATTTGGACCACAAAAGGGTTTTGTGTCTCTGAGGGAGGGGACAGGAAGTTAAAGAACAACCAAAGGTCAGGCCAAGGGCTGAGCCTAGGTACTTCCCCCAGGGATCTTGCTACCAGGATCCAGATTGTTCTACAGAGCATGGGCAGAGATGGGCCCCATCTGGCAGCGAACAAGGAAATGCCCGGTCCAGCTGTTGCAAGTATTAGTTACCATGGGGCAGCCAAGTCTCCAGATATACCCCTGAACTGGTATGTGCCCACACTGGCCATACCATACCCTAGGTGGCCTCTCCCCAAATCGGAGGCTCTTTACATGATACCCGCTGCCATCGTCAGAGCGCATTTAATAAAATAAACGCATCTTCTACCTTTCTTCTCCTTATTTCAAAATACACTTACGATACACAAAAATACTTTCCTTAGAGGGAGGGAAGGAGGTGGACGGTGGCCAGGATGGGCAAGAATGAGTTAACAGAGTGGTGGCCGCCTCTCTGAGGAGGGGCGCTGAAGGTGGGTACGAGAAAGATCTGCCCCTAGGCTGGAAAAACCTGCCAGGGTCACAGGGGTGCCAAAGCCGTCTACATTGTAGACGTGGCAGGAAGAGGACAGGGGCTGGTGGCTAACAGGGAAAGGGCTGAAGGGAACTGGGAGGAAGGAAACTGATACCCCTCATCCTCCTTGTGGCCTGGAGGACTTCCTGGAGGTGGTGGACAGCTGCCTGATGAAGACTGGCCCGGAAGTAAAAGGACTCTGGTCTCATAGACACCTGGAGTCTGGTCAACAGGACATGGGCCAAAAGGAGGAGAGAGGCCAGCATCCAAAGCCAGACACAGGCCAGCCATCCATCTGCCTGTCTGCTTGGTCCTGGAGCTTGGCCAGCCCCAAAGCTAGAGACCAGATTCCTTCATCTCCCACCCACAGCCCAGCCCCTGCTGCCCCAGAATGCCACAAAAGGGTGAGGGACCCGAAGTGAGATCACAGCTGCTTCCTAAGCCCTGGTTAGCCACTCCAGCCCTGGCAGCGTTTGGTTGTTCTTTAACTCACCCCTTTGCTCGTTACAGGGTCAGACCAAGCAAGCCAGAAGACAAGGTTTTGACCCATAGTGACTGAAAGCACAGGGAAGAAAGGTCTGTTTGAAGGCAGTAAACAGAGACTGGGGGTGGGGATGCTGATGACAACACCACACTACTGCCAAGGCGGGCGGGTGGGCAGACTAAGTCTACGTGGTAGCCCATGCCATCCCCTAAGGCGCCCAGGATCCTTGGAGCCCACCCCATGCTCTCAGAGTCCACTTGGCTCAGACAGATGGGTCTGATGCCTCTGAACTGGAAAGAAAACAACAAAAAAAAAGTCATCATCTTTGTATCTGTATTCTGTGAACTGTCAGGAATCCAATGCCACTGTCGTACCTTTGGATAGGTTTTGCAGTCAGGGTGAGTAGACCAAGCTGTTCCCCTACTGCGCATTATTTGCTCTTTGTGCATTTGCGTGGGTCAATAGGTGTCAAGACAGGTTCCCACGCTGGCTTCACAGTCAGGACCCCCCCACTCCCCACTTCCCGCCTGGGGGGGGTGTATGTGTGTCTCAAAAAAAAAAAAAAAGAGTATAGGAACGCTCACAGTGGCCCAGCCCAGGGTCTGAAATCCAACGGCCAGCAACAGCAGCAGAAGCAGCAAAAGCCCCTTCCTCCCAGGGCCTGGGGTTCAGGCCTGGTCTCCACTCCTCCGTGGGTTGCGCCGTGACTTGTGTGTACTTTTGTTGCGTAAGAACTCCATTGAAAGAAGTCCAAGTGACAAGTTGTCAGGCCCAGACTGTGCTGTGAATTATGGTCAAAATATTCTTTGGCATCCACAGAGTGATTCGACGGATTTCACTGGACTTTTCCAAGGTTTCTGGTTGGAGAAGTTCTGGCTTTGTAACTTTTTTTTTTTTTTAATTTTTTTTTTAATTTATTTTTTTAAACCAGTGGTGGAAGTGACCCAGGAATCATTGATAAAAGCAAAAAAGAAAAAAAAAAAAGAAAAAGAAAAGAAAAAAAGTTCACGGAATTCCTTTTTGATTTGTTCCCTGAGCTATCACCCTGGGGCCACTCCATTGAAACTCTTCACAACAACCTGGGACTTGGAAGGGGGCGGGGAGAAGTAGGGGGGAGGGGGGAAGGAGGGGATGGGGTGGGGAAGAGGGGTTAAGGCGCCAAAGGGATGGAGGAACATAGGAGCATCCAGCAAGTCTTCAACTAGCCCCAGCAGGCCAAAATTGGCCTGCCTTGGGCCCCGGGATCCCACTGCTTGTTGGAAGGAGACGTTTCCAGAAGGAAACAGAGGAAGAAGCTCATCTCTTAACAGAACTAGGTAATTTGGAAAGGCAATGGTCTGGTCTGGCCAACTCCAGAGAGGAGTCATCAGACTTCAGCGGAGGCTGCCCCGAAGGAAGGAAGGAAGTTGGAGCCCCCAGAGTAATTCTCTGCAGTGGGCTGGTCTGAGCCCCACATCCCCGGCCCTGGCTGGGCACTGGGCCTCACTAGGAGCCCTCCACCTGCACTGGTGGCTGGCTGTTTGGGGGAGTCCCCTGAGTAAATGGCAACAGCTAAAGGAAGGATTTTGGGACATCCCTTCCCAGAGCCGCTGGGCTGGGCACTGGCAGGGGTAAAGCAGCAAGAAGGGGAGGGTGGCAAGGGGTGGGGCAGGCCTTACGATGATATGGGTTGGTCAGGAACCAGTTGGGCCCCCTGCACCCCCTCAGTGTTTTCTCATATAAACTCATTGTGCTTGTTTACAGTGAGTAGACTCTGGTACACTTATTATACTTCCTTGGGGATCAGTAGAGTGCAGCAGGACCCCCTCCAAAGAAAAAAAAAACAAAAACAAAAAAAGTAGGCCCCAGTACAATTTGGGGGCAAGGCGGGGCAGGCCCATCTGCCATAAAATAATGCCCAAACGAGTCTGTGTCACCTAGTGGCAGCGGGCAGGAGTCCTGAGCTCTTCCTCACCTTACCTACACCTAGCCAGAAGCCCAGCAATGCTTCATGGGCCAGGACAGGGGTGGTACAAGGCCTGGCACAGTCCCTGTGACCAGAGCCATGGAAGAAATCCTAATGTCCTAGGCCAGCACAGAGGAAAGACAACAGTGTGGAATTCAAAACTCTCTCTATATTAAAAATAAAACCACAATAGAGTGGCAGCGTCAGGGAGTCTGGGACACTCAGCAGTTGGAAATGGCAGTTGTAATCGGGCTGAGGCCTTATAGGGGTCGAGGGCAGGGCCCGGGGTATGGGTAAGTTAGGAGGCGAGTACCCCCATACGGACTACCTCCTCAGCCCCTGCCTCCCTGGATCCCTGCTGTACACCACTGTCCTCTGCTTCTATGTCCGAGTCGCTCAATTCCCCGTCAGAGAAGTAGCCATCAGCCTCGGTGTCAAAATGCAGGCTGACCTTCGGCCTCTCAGCCACAGGGGTAGGTGGTCCTGTCCCAGAATCGGGCCTGGCACCCAGTGATCGCCGAGTGACCTTGCTCTCACGGGGTGGCCGCAGCCGGCCCAAGGACTTGGGGCTCACCATAGGGCCAGGCACTTGGACATTCGAGTCAGCAGCTGTTGGGGCTGCCTCATCTGGAGTCCCCGGGGCCAGTGGTGGGGGGCTTTCCGGGACTGCTGGGACAGGACAGTCCCCAGCTGTAGGGCTGGACGGTAAGTGGGCAGATATCCGCCGTGGTGGTTTCCTGGTCGGGGGAGGCCCTTGCCCGCCCTTGCCATTGCTTGCATCCTGGCTCCAGGGCTTCTTCGGGTGCTTGTCTGAAGTGGTCAGTGAACCAGGCCCCTCCTTCAGTGGGGGGGGTTTCTTCTTAGAGGGGAGACGGGTACGGCCTCGAGCCTTCCGGGCAGGGTCACCAGGTCGCAGCGAGGGGTCCCTCATGAAGCTGAGCAGGGTCTCCTCGTCTTGCAGGAGTTCCTCTGACAGCAGCCCCGGAGCAGGGTCTTCGTGGTGCCCATTGTTGAGTGACCATTCGCTCATGGCCATGTCTTCTGCTGTGATCTGGACTGATTGTGCCAGCCAGCTGTTGAAGAAGGTGCCGTCGATGGGGAATGAGGTGGATAAGCCTGACCAAGGGGAGAAAGGAAGGCAGGTGAGAAGAGGCAGGTGTGGCCCGCCCTTTCAGACAGCCCTCGCTGACCCCCTAAGCCAGCACCATGATTCTTCCTTCCCAGTGTCCTTCCTGTCACCACCACCAAAGAGCAAGGTCCCCGCTCACCAGGACATCCAACCCCAGGACTGGGGGATCAAATGACACCGCAAGCTCCTTGTTCAATCAAAGTGGTGAGAGCAGAGAGCATTAAACCAAGTGCAACTGTTCAGGATGCAAAGGAGGAGCGGAGTTTCCTCTGCTTGCCACCAGGGGGTGCTGCATCTTATGAGCAACTCCCAGTAGCCTCTTATGCAAAAGTAGGAGAAAGTCTCTCATGGAGCCGAGGCTTCTCTTTAGACACGCAAGATGCCGCCTTGATACGTCAGGGCACATTAAAAATAAGAAGCTGGGGTTTTTGTGCAGAAGTGAAGTCAGAAGGGGGACTGTACCCTAAGAGTGTAGGCATTTATGACAGATCTTTTGGGAATCAGAGCCCAGTCCTGAGGTCCCTTGAGGACTGTTCTGTCCAATGGGACAGGAAGGAAGCCAGTGACAATGGCTACAGGACCTGTGGCCACTCCTCTGGGTCTCTCTGAGTAGTCCTAGAAAGGTTTGCTGGGATTGAAGGAAGAGCCCATTTCAGAGTATTCTGGTAGAATGGCATAGACAGGGGGTTCTGGGAAAACCTAGCACTCAGAACCAGGATACTTCCTGACATTTCTTGGGATGTCTCCTAGAGCCACCATCTCTACTCTGTGTGCCTGGCTTTACATGGGGTGACGATGGCGTGGGCTTTGCTTTGGCTGGGCTAGTGTGGCCCTTTACTCACCCAGCTGCCCCAGAACTGAGTCAGGCCCAGCCTTCACTTTCTCCTTCTTCTCAGGGCTGCTGCCCTTAGGACCCTCGCGGCCTTTCCTCTTAGAGTCGCTCTTCTTACCCTTCGCTCTCTTTCCGGACTGCTCTGTGTTGGGGAAAGTGAGGCAGAAGGTTACCTGGAGCAGCCTTGGTGAGGACCAACATTACCCAGTTGGCATGCAGCAGTGCTCATCCAGAACTCCCCACAGCTCCAAGGTCAGAGCCACAAACCAGGAGCACTGTCAGCTCATGAAAGACAAGTACAGTGACATACCACAGGTATCCTTTGGGGATAGAGGACTTAGGAAGTCCTGATGGATGAATAGTATGTCTGGACTGGCAGGGCCTTGAGTCCAGGAATGCTACTTCCAGCTTTTTGCTGGTTAACTGGAGTCTAAGGAAAGAAGTCTATGGACTAAAGCCCTGGCAGGTTTTTAACCGTGATCCTCCGATCTCAGCCTCCTGAGTAGTTAGGATGACAGGCCTGAGCCACCAGGCTTCGTCTCTCAGTCTGCTTCCGAGGTCAGCAGCAGATGGGAAGGTTCAGGATTTCCTTGGGTCAGGGAGACCTAATGGCCTTGAATCCTCCCCAGCATCTCAGCCAGAGATAGGAGAGCTTCCTGAACAAGGCAGAATGTCAAGGGATGTGGCCCAGCTCAGCTCTGCTGTTAGTTGTCAGAGTAACTCAAGCCAGGGCTTTGTCTCCTCACATGTGATCAGCTGGGGATGGGGGGGGGGGGTAGCAGGAGCTTCCTCACTGCTCTGAGTCAGTCTAGACTCCTCCAGACCACAGGGCCTTGCCCAACTTACTCTGGTTACCCTACAGTCTCATCTTAAGCACCTTGTTTTCCTCAGTTGCAGCCGTATCAAGGTCTTTCCAGTTTTCCCACCAAGACATGCTTTAGTCTGCAAATATGCTTTCCTGTCTGTCCTTCACCTGGTTTGGATCAAGGCCCTAATACCACCTTTAAAACCTCAGCCCATGCTTGTCACCTGCACCCCACGTCAGGCTCAAACCAGTTTTCTGTCCAAAATTTGCCTCGTCCTGAACTGCCAAGTCCCCAAACCCAATGTGGAGGTGTGGACCCAGTGCTTCTGCCCTGTAAGCACTCTGGGGTGCCTCTGCTGCACAGAAATGGGTGGACCATGCCATGAGATGCTGTTCATGTCACTGCCACTGACTGCACAACCTGGGTCGCCAGAAGGTAAGCTCCACGAGGGCAGGCACTCTGTCTGTGCTCCGTCAGCAATCTGCATGCATAATAAGCTTTGCGTGGTGCAATGAGCCCTGACTTAGCAATGTCCCCACTTGGCCAGAGTGGGTGGCAGCTCTTGGCAGTGACCAGTATTCCAGTCATTCTGCTCTAATGGTGTCTGTCTCTAGGAAGGACCCTGTGTCTGCCCATCTCTGACACCAACAAGGTCAAGGTCAGAGCTCCCTGGGCTTTGATTTCTACACCTATTGAATGCATGTGAGTGTAAGAGAAGACCACAAAGGAAAACCACTGGGGCCTAAATCCTGCCATATACGACCAGAAAGAAGGGACACACACACACAGGTTATCTTCTAATCCTGGGGTAGCTGCTTTCCCCAGAATTGACTTGCTAGGCACCAGTTGCTCACATCTGTAAGCCTAGCCACTCAAGAGATCTGAGGATCTCAAAGCCAGCCCCAGTGGGAAGTCCATGAGACTCTTATCCCCCAATTACCCAGCAATTAGTCAGAAGTGGAGGTGTGGCTCAAGGGGCAGAGCACTAGCCTTGAGTGAAAAAGCTGAGGGACAGTGCCCAGACACTGAGTTCAAGCCCCAGTGCTGGCACAAATTTAAAAATAAAAAAGACCACCAGGCACAGTGGTTTTCAAGGAAGCTCATCTGCCAGCCTGCCTCAGTCTCAATACAAAGCCACTAGGACTCAGAATCTCTAAGGAGCTGTGTTCCAGACTCTGGCTCATTGCCTATCAGCATTACCAGGACACCTGGCAGGGCTCCCTCTGGGTCTGGTAACTGCATGATGCAGATACAAAGTGGAGAGGAGACGGATCACCCCTTGTCTCATGCACATGTCTTGCTAGGACTCAAAGATATATGTATATACCCAGTCCGGTGGGGTGCACAGAAATGGCAGCCACAGGCAGCCAGGAAGGGCAAGTACCTCGAGACAAATCCTGCTCGACGACCTTCATCTGCAGGTGGAATATCTGCTCCTGGAGCTTGCAGATGGCCTGTTTCGTCCTCTCGCGTCTTGTCACCATGTAGCACAGATTTCTAACCTGAGGAAACAGAGACATTTCCTACCTTAGTCTCTGATCGCCAGCCTTCAGGCCTCCATGCGCCTGAGGCATAGGCCATTGCTGTCTCCCTTCCAGGGACTTCTGGGACTCCATTTCCAGATCCTGAGTGGGTCCTGGGCCTCAGCTCCACATTTATCATCCACAACATGGGACCAAAGACCTCAGGCTAAGTCACCAGTGAGCAGGGGGCACCAGGGCATCTCAGCCTGGCAACTCTGCTTTCCTCTGATTTTAACTTCTCCATGACTAGCCAGCCAAGCGGCATCCCACGGCCTTCCCAGCCTGGTTGCTTCTTGTCTACATTCACAGTGTGTGTCTGAGGCTATCCAGGTCTCCCCAAGTTCACCTCTCTAGCTTCTAGCTCCTCACTGTCTTTGCCAGCGAAGCAACTCTTCAGACACAAGTAAAAACTCAGTCTGTCCTGAGATAGGCAGGGGCCGGAACCCAAAGTTAGAAGGATCCAGAATGGCTTTGCACGGGCAGTCCCTACCAGTGTCTAGTCTGCAGAAGCCCAGGTCTGTCTACCTGCTGCACTGAACTAGGCCCCAGCTGATTAGCCAAAGCTTCCTCCAACTACGTGGCCACATTCACACAGCCAGCGAGAGAACTCAGCAGAAAGCCTGGAAGCCTAGGGCAGCGAGGAAGAGCCCCATGAAGACCATCTTGCTTATTATACACAGGTATGCGTCCTGCAGGCCTGTCCCCCCAGCACCTTACCCCAGCATGCTGGTTTTCCTGACTGGTTGCTCTTTCACACACTTCTGAGACCAAGACCAGGCCTGGCTTGCTTTGCAAAGAGCACGTTAGCTCAGGCCAGAGCCTCCTAAAGCAGGGACAGCTGGCCAGGCCCACTCAGCTTGAACCCTGAGTCCTTGCAAGGTCTTCCTAGCTACAGCCACCATCTCTGTCTAACCAGACTCATCTTCCAGGCAGTGCTTGGTCTTCTTGTTCTTAAGCTTAGATGGGAGCGGCCTCTGGTTCAAAGTCCTACTCGTCAGCAAGTCCACTATTCCTCCTGGCCCAGACTCTGCTGACAATGGGTGACTTTTTCTTCTTGAGCCTAGTGATAAAGGAGACCCTGGAAGGCCTTCTTCTGTCTCCAGCTCTGACAGGATGCATGCATTGTGTATAGACTCTCTGCATCACAGGCTAAACAGTTCAACTCCCCCGCCCCCCCACACCAAGCCTACATCTTTAGGTTTTAGATCTTAATAAAAGTGATTTGCAATCATCAACTCTGCTGAGTTTTTTTTTTTTTGGGGGGGGGAGGAATGTGCTGGTCTTGGGGCTTCTGAGCTTCCATGGGAAAAGGGTGCCAAGGCCTAAGGCAAGGTTGACTGTGGTCATCCGTGCTGCCACGGCTGGTGGATGAGGATGAAGAAGTAGAGGCTGTTGGTGGTTGGCCTGCAGGCTCTTGTAAGAGTCCAGCCAGCACAGCGAGTATATACACTTTGAGGGAGGGAGGGCAGGAGAGATGTGGTTGACAGCAGAGGAGCTGAAAGTGGGAGGGGGGAGAGAGAAGGAGGGGAGGGGAGGGAGTAAGAGGGTTCAACCAACTCAAATGCTGGTGGGATAGGTTGGTTCCTCTGGACTGAGGAACCACAGAACTAGGTGCCTGCTAAGAGAACGAGGGAAGCCAGGCACTGGTGGTTCACATCTGTCATCCTAGCTACTCAAGAGGCTGAGATCTGAGGATCATGTTGCAAAGCCAGCCCGGGCAGGAAAATCCCTAAGCCTCTTATCTCCAATGAATCACCAAAACAAAGCTGTAAGTAGAGCTGTGCCTCAAGTGGCAGAGCACTAGCCTTGAGCAAAAGAGATCAGAGACAGCACCTAGGCCCTGAGTTCCAAGCTCCATGACTGGGTGGGGGGGGGGAGGGGAAGAAAAGAGCCATGGGAATCAGGTAAGAGAGCCCCACATGCGGTGGACACATGACTCTCCAAGGCTGTTCACTGCTGTGGAATCTCTCTTGGGGGGGGGGGCAGAGGATAGACTGTGTTCTATGCTATGAGGCTCTGTCGGGGGTACATCCTCAGGACAGGAACAGAGGAATGGGAGAACAATGAAAATGGGAGGCCAAGGCCGAGTGGCTGGCTGGGGTGGGCAAGTTCAGGTAGGGTAGAGGGAAAATGGGTTAGAGAAGTCCAGGAGGTGGGAGTCTGGAGGCTGGACGACCCAGGCGATTGGGGAGAAAGCAAATGGACCACAATCCAGGCATTGAGAGCTCAGCAGAAGACAGGGTGGAAAGTGACAAGGAGCCGGGTGCTAGTGGCTCACGCCTGTAATCCTACTTCCTCAGGAGGCTGAGATCTGAGGATCCTGGTTCAAAGCCAGCCTGAGCTAGAAAGTCAGTGAGACTCTTATCATCAATTAACCATCAGAAAACCACACAGAAGTGGAGTTGTGGCTCAAAGTAGTAAATACCAGCCTTGAGCAAGAAAGCTCAAGGACAGCGCCTAGGCCCCGAGTTCAAACCCCACGACTGCCCCCCACCCCACCCCCCAAAAAAAACAACTGACAAGGAGGTAGGTGGCAAGTGTGGCAGAAGGCAGGACCCACTGAGCCTCTGTCCCCTAGAGACAGGTGGCAGAAGTGAAACTTCTGGAAGCTGCCACATGTCCATCTGGAGAGAGACTTCCATCCTTTTGACCCCCTCGGCAGGCCAAGTCAGGCTTTGGAATAAACAGAGAGCAAAGGCCCTGGACAGTCTGATTGCTAGCATGGTTGGTTCTGGGGACACTAGCCAGCATTTGTAGGGTTGATGTTCACTGCTGTAAATTTTCTGTCAGCTGTGAACAACTGGGAGGTTCCAGTGGCCAAGCCCTTCCAAGCTGCCTGTCAGGGCCAAGCCCATGGCTCTAAGTTTCAGGAGGCTGATCGTAACATGGGGTATCAGCCAGACATCAGTGGCTCATGCTTTTAATTCTAGCTACTCAGGAGGCTGAGGTCTGAGAATCACAGTTCAAAGCTATCCTGGGCAAGAAAGTCCATGAGGATCTCATCTCCAACTAACCACCACAAAGAGAGTGGGGGGGGGGGAGAGAAGGGAAGGAGAGGGGAAGGGAGGAAGAAAGGAGGGAGGGAGAAGAAAGAAAAGTTGCACATGAAGTATGCTCAAGTAGTAGACCACTAACTTTGAGTGGAAAAGCTCCAGACCCTGAGTTCAAGCCTTAGTACCAGCACATCAGCACAAAAACAAGTATCAACAACAAAACACTCCAAAATAAACAAAACATGGGTTGTCATGCTGGTAGCAGACCTAACTTCTCTCCACAGCTCCCTGGCTGGCTGTGGAGGGGCAAATCCTTCAGGCAAGATGCTGATTCCCAGGCCTCCTTTCTGAGTTCAACTGCTTGCAGCCAGCATCATCTGAGTCAGCAATGGAGGTCACTGTGCTCAGCTCAGTCCTCTGTCCTAACTGTGACCCCTAGGTGAATTTGAGTCTTCTTGCCACTTGCCACAAAGCAGGCACAGGGCTGGGAAGCGCCACTGGACACAAAGCCAGGTCCCCAAAGGCTTCGGGCTGGAGACATACACCTCCCAGATGGATCCAGGCCTAAGTTGGCTTAGTGCCCGCTCTCAGGCTGGATACTCTTCTGCTGTTGGCAATGGGCCGTAGTTGGGGACCAGTCCTGGTGGCCAGGTCACCAATGCCCACAGGGCTTTGCAGCAAGTTGCCTTTCCTTTCCCCTCCAATGCACAGCTGAGTTCCTGATGCTGATCGTTCCCTTAGGACACCAACACATGGCCCTGAGAGGCCTTGAGGCTGGGACTCCCCGGGGTTGACAGCTGGCTCATGCTCGTCTCCAGGGCTGTTCCACCCCTTGCCCTGTTCTCAGCCGATGCTGTACCAGCCCAGCCACCATCGCTCTGAGGAAACAGCATTTGGACAGGGTCCTCCCGAGCCATGAGAAGCTACACAGCCTCCAGAAGGTCCCGACTCTTCTTTCTAGAGGATTAGACTGATGACACCTGCCTTTGGATGGGTTCATGGCAGCTGTTTGCTCTGGGCTCTGCCAGGCTGGCATCCCAGGCTTTGCCAGCCTCAGATTTGGGTTCCATCTGTACCAGCTGACCCTAGAATTAGGAGGCTGGAAGACTGACTTTCCTTCTTTCCCTCCCTTCCTTCTTTCCTTCCTTCCTTCCTTTCCCCCCCTCTTTCTTTCTTTCTTTCTTTCCTTTCTTGTCCTGGGGCTTGGACTTGGGGCCTGGGCACTGTCCCTGAGCTTCTTTTACTCAAGGCTAGCACTCTACCACTTGAGACACAGTGCCACTTCTGGCCCTTTCTGTTTACGTGGTAACTGAGGACTATTACTAAGCCATATTCCCTGACTGACTTTCTGCCTGGGCCATTTATACACTAGAGAAAAAGAATGAACAGACCCTGCTGCCCCTCCCTCCCCCAGCTCAGATGTAAAGTCAAACACCAACCTTCCTCTAAGGCTTCCTGTTATTTCATAGAGCTCAGAAGTATTGCTTTTCTTCCTTTCTCAGGATGACAGCTGTGGACGTGACTCAGCCCTGCACCACCCTGCACAGCCCAGCCAGGGCCAGACACCAGGGCTGACCACAGACCGAGGAGGGCTCATCTGACTGCAGAAGGAGAGCTGGGCACTCTGGAAGCAGCTTTGGTCTCCAAGGGCTCACAGCTGTCTCCCCCGCCCCATGTGACATGAGTCTGGGTTGCCTAGGATACTGTGGTTGCAATGTAGGTGGCCATGCCCCCCGCCCAGGCTAGACTCGGAGACATGGGATCCTCCCAAACCCCTTTCTGATCTGCTACCACCAAGCGTTGCGAGTCCTTCGAAGCCATCAGAGTCATTTCCCTTTTGCCCAGGGCCAGGGCAGATGAGTGGGGTAAAGAGGAAATGAATGGGAAAGTGGGGTCTGGTCACTCCTTCCTCCTTAGTGCAAGAGACAAGAAGGACCACTCCCTTTTTTTAAAAAATACAGATTTGTCTATAAGAAAAGCAGTTGACCCCAGGTCACAGATCTCCCTGGAAGCTTCCAATCACAGCCTAGGCTAAAGGTGACAACATGATGTCTATGTCCCACAGCACATGCTCTGGGAACCCCAGAACTAAATGTCCAGAGAGGAGGTCCCTGGGGCTTAGAGGACTGGAGCTAAGAGTCAGCTCACTCAGATGTAAATCTAATACCCTACACCGAGCCACTATCTTGTCTCTGCTCCAGGCCACCTAGGGGGGAGTGTTTTCAGCCATACTCCTGCCAGTCTGTGTGTGTGTGTGTGTGTGTCCACTTCTGTTTTTTTGCTAGTTAACTAGAGGCCTGGGCAAGCTGGGTTCAAACCATGAACCGCAGATCTCAGCCTCCTGAGTAGCTAGCGTTACAGGCCTGAGCCACGGGTGCCCAGTTCCCCCTGCCACATTGAAGATTCCAGTCTTTCATGTGGGGGGCCCAGAAATCTCAGTTTCTGCAGCTCAGACAAGATACCACGTAACCTTGTGTGGTCCAACAGCCCCTTCACCCTCTTCCACCACCTGGGGCATGTGGCTGATCGATCACGCCCCCACTGCATGCTTTGTGCTCCTGCTGTCAGACACCCAAGAGCCACGTTCCCATCTACCAACCCGAGCTCACCAGCACAGGTTTGACTGGATACTTCTTACTGTCAATCAATGTCCAGGCACTCAGCAAAGACCAGAGAGGGCGCAGCTGGGAAGCCCCACTCCACCCCAGCCTTCAGTCTCAGAACAGAAGTTCATATGTTTCGGACCAGGCCAGAGGTGACAAGGTGTCAAAAATCTGGGTCCTGGTCAACTCTGGGGGCTCCTTAGCCACCCATTCACAGCTGGGCCATTTTCACCATGCTTGTGGTTAAGTGCGAGCCCCAAGAGCTGAATCTTTCTGTGTTCCGTAAGTATTAGTCACCCCCAAACTGTGGGAATCTATGGAAGCCAACTTCTTGGTGGCTATCAAACATGGCCGGGAGGCCAAGGTTCACAGCTGCGTCCCGCTCAGTCTCGGCTGTCCCAGGACAGCGATGTGGGGTCACCAGGCCCCCAGGGATGGCCCAGCAGGGGCTACTCACCCTCTCCAGGTCCTGCCGCAGGTGAGTGAACAGCTTTAGGCGGCGGTACAGGACATCTTGTTCCTGTTGGGCCAAATTGTCCACCTCATCCGTCTTGGGCGTCAGTAGTGGCTGGTTGGAGTTGGCTTTCCTCTTCAACTTCCAGTACTGGTAGATAAAGTCAACCAGGGACTCAGCCAGGTCCAGCCGCTCGGCCACCTCAGCCGGATCCACCAGCTCGTAGAAGTCTTCCTCCAGCTGCTGTAGCCGCTGCTTACGCAGTGTCACCTTCTCCAGGTCCTCCCCGGCCTGGCTGGGCTCCACGGACTCCGATGGAGGCTCGCCCCTTGGGCCTCCATCACTGTGCTCCTGGCAGAATGACTTGAACTTGACCTCATCGTTGTCTGCTAATATAGTCCGCATTTCCAAGCTGTGGTCAAAGGCGCATGTGACGTGAAATGCCGTGACGCAGGAAGGCATGGAACACTGGAGAGGGACAAGAAGGATGGGGTCAGGTGCGAAAGGAAGCCCTCGGGGGTGGGGTGAGGAGAGAATGGGGGACTTCTCCCACGGATCCACTCAAGAGTGTAAAATCTGGGGACATTCTACATTACATAGCATGGGTTGCCAGTTGCCATGGCTCACGCCTGTCATTCTAGCTACTCAGGAGGCTGAGGTCAGAGAATCACGTTTTTTAAATTTTTATTTTATTTTTGTCGGTCATGGGGCTTGAACTCGGCCTGGGCACTGTCCCTGACCTCTTCAGTTCAAGGCTGGTGCTCTACCCCTTGAGCCATAGCACTACTTCTGGTTTTCTGAGTGGTTTATTGGAGATAAAGAGTCTCATGACCTTTTCTGCCCAGGCTGGCTTTGAACCATGATCCTCAGATCTCAGCCTCCTGAGTAGCTAGGAATATAGGAATGGCAAGAATCACAGTTTGAAGCCCGGGCAGGAAAGTCCATGAGATCCTTACTTCCAATGAACCACAGAAAACCGCAAGTAGAGCTGTGGCTCAAAGTGGTAGAGCACTAGTCTTGAGCATAAGCACTCAGGGAACCCAGACCCTGAATTCAAGCCTCACGATCATCAAATAAACAAACTATGGGCTCCCAACATCCTGCTGGGTTTGGAGAATGAGGGCAGATAGGATGGATCACCTGGAAAGGCAGAGAGCCTAGCACCATACAGCTGGGGGAAGCCATCAAGAGCCTGGGTCTGGGACAAGAAGCTTTTTTTGTTTGTTGGCTAAAGGGTGTTGCTATGTACCCCGGCTGGCTTCAAACCCACCGTCCTGTCTCAACCACAGGTGTGAGCCACCATGTGCCTGGACCAGAGCAAAGTTTTTATATGCCAAAAAAAAAAAAAAAAGAGCTGAGTGCTGGTGGCTCACTCCTGTCATCCTAGCTACTCAGGAGGCTGAGATCTGAAGATCACAGTTCAAAGCCAGCTCGGGCAGGAAACTCTATGAGACTCTTCTCTCCAATAAATCACTAGAAAACCAGAAGTGGCACTGTGGCTCAAGGGGTAGAGCACTCGCCTTGAGCTGAAGAGCACAGGGAAAGTGCCCAGCCCAGAATTCAAGCCCCACGACCGAGACACACACACACACACACACACACACACACACACACACACACACACACACACACACACACACACACAGAGGCTGGGATTAAAAAGCAGCAAAAGAAAGGTTGAGTGGGCATGGTAGGGCACAACTGTAATCCTAGCACTCCTGGGAGGCTGAAGGAAGATCATTTATCTATACAGCAGTTTGAAAATAAATATATAAAAAGGACCACTGCTCTTGACTCCTGTAATATTATCTAGGGTGGGGGAATTTGGGGCCCATCTTTCTCCCCTGGGAGGAGGGGTTACAAGGGCTACCAGCCTTGGATAAAGACTTTAGTACCCAACATTAGGGGCCACAGATGCTGCCTACAGGCAGTCCCTCAGGCTTGTGTAAATGGATGGAGACACACCTGATGTTGCCGTGACGATTCATCCAGGAGAGAGCAGAAAGACAATCTGCCTCTCTCACAGACCAAAGGCAGCAGCATCCCTTGTCACTCTGTTAGCCATGTAGAGGCTCAGATCTATTCAACACAGGCTCTATTGAAACCTCTGGCCTTGGGGACTCTTACGCATACCAGGATGTGGGAGTCACTCACAGGCCGACAGTGGTTGAGTCTCCAGTGGCAACGGTGGAGTGTGCTAATGTGCCATGGGTGCTGTTCCTGGCTGGCATGTTAGGGGGAGACAGACTGCGTACCTGGATGCAGGTACCTGTGCACTCCTTGCACAGGCTGCAGGACAGGGCCCAGCGGCTGGCTGGAATATGTGAGATCTTGGTGATGGGCTCCATCTTCTCTGGGCAGCCGATGCTGACCTGGGCCAGGACACAGGGAATTCCATCAGTTCCCAGTCTGCCTCCAAGGTTCCCCAAGTGACAGACTGTCTTTTTTTCCTTGGTCCAAAACCAGGACCTGATGCTTTTGCTTACTGGCTAACACTACCAATTGAGCCATGCCTCTAATCTTGAGACTGACCTGCTGAACCCAGGCTCTGGGCAGAGAGAGCAATGGCTGAACCCCCTAAATCCCCGGTTCTTCCTAATTCCAAAACAGACATATTTAAAGTCTAGGTCCTTCCTCACCAGCCCAGTGACTGGTGGGTGGGAATGCCGGGGAGAGTGCCTGTGTGGGTCTCAGAGGAAAAGAGAGAGAGAGAGAGGGGTGTGGGGGGGATAGTTGGCTCAGTGGTAGAGCACTTGCCTTGCATGCATTGAGGCTCTGGGTTTGATTCCTCAGCACCACATAAGCAGAAAAAAGCCGGAAGTGGTGCTGTGGCTCAAGTGGTAGGGCACTAGCCTTGAGCTGAAGGACAGCGCCCAGGCCCAGAGTTCAGAGAGAGAGAGAGAGAGAGAGAGGGAGAGAGGGAGAGAGGAAGAGAGAGAGAAACTGCATTGCATGGGTATACACATAGGATTTCCCTTCTATACCTCAGGCCTTTGTTAGTTTAATGGCACCTTTAGAGTTTTGTGATTTTTTTTTTTTTTTTGTCGGTCGTCAGGCTTGAACTCTGGGCCTAAGCAATATCCCTCAGCTCTTCAGCTCAAGACTAGTGCTCTAACACTTGAGCCACAGCGCCACTTCTGGTTTTCTGAGTGGTTTATTGGAGATAAGAGTCTCACGGACTTTCCTGCCTGGGCTGGCTTTGAACCACAATCCTCAGATCTCAGCCTCCTGAGTAGCTAGGATGACAGGCACGAGCCACCGCGTCCAGCAACCTTTAGAGTTCTTGTAACTTGTCACTTTTCACTAAGCACCAAGAACAGGCCTCATGGCAGCTTCTCTTGCGGGGTCTCTTTAGGGCTCTTCTGGCCAGTGGGAATAGACCTTGGCTAAGCTTCTCTTAAAGGGACTGTCCTGACATTGTGCTGAGTAAATTGGACCCCAGCTCCAGGAAGCAGGCACAATGGCTTCCCTACAGCCCATACCAGACGACAGAAGGAAGGGCCCCTTCCAAAGTGCTCTATGGTGGGCTCTCTGTTGGGTCACTGAGCTGTGCTCAGTCTAGGGAACACTGAGAGGCAGTTCCAGCTATCAAGCGGGAGATGTGAGAGTAGGTACTATTGCTAATGCAGTAGTGGGTCCCAGCAGGTGACCTTTGGGCTAGGAGCCCGGGAATGGAAGTGCACACACTGACCGGACCCTGGCTTATTTCTGGGCACAGATAGCATTGGGATGGGCTGCAATATGCAGCTTTCTAGTGAAGTTCAGTCATTAGTATTATTTTGGCTGGTCCTGGGGCTTGAACTCAGAACCTAGGTGTTATCCCTGAGCTTTTTTTTTTTTTTTGTCGGTGGTGGGGCTTGAACTCAGGGCCTGGCCATTGTCCCTTAGCTCTTCAGCTCAAGGTAAGCGCTCTACCACTTGAGCCACAGAGTCACTTCTGGTTTTCTGAATGGTTTATTGGAGATAAGAGTCTCTCAGAGTTTCCCGTCTGAGCTGGCTTTGAACAGCGATCCTTAGCTCTCAGCCTCCAGAGTAGCTAGGATTACAGGTGTGAGCCACAGACACCCGGCTAATCCCTGAGCTTCTTTTGCTCCAGGTTAATGCTTTAATCACTTGAGCCATAGCTCCATTTCTCACTTTTTTGGTAGTTGATTGGAGATAAGTTTCACCAACTTTCCTGCCCAGGCTGGCTTCAAATTGCAATCCTCAGATCTCGGCCTCGAGTAGCTAGGATTACACGTGTGAGCCATTGGTGCCTGGCTTTTAAGAAAATGGTCTCCACTCACCCTGTAAATCCAGAGTGTTGTCCCCAGCCTTCCCAGCTGGCCTCAACCATGGGCCCACCCCTCCACCCCAGTCATTGCCAGAAGAGCAAGCCCACTATCCAGCTTCCATTAGGCTGGGTGCCTAACTTTGGTTGAGATCAGCTGGGTTGTTTTAAACATGCAGCTCAACTGTGGTTTACATGGCCTCCTAACCTATGTCCCCTACCGTGGGCTGTCTGTTATCCTTGGACCAACATCCTGACCCTGCCATCACCCATTATTACCTCACCTACCCACAGAAACCACCCCTCAACAGTGCCTAAGTCCACCAAGTTTCCGTGGGCAGCTGCTGCTCCAGCTTCCCAGGCCTGTCACCCCAGATCTTTGCATTCTATTCTGGGCTTACCTGATACCCTGCCCACTTTCCCACATGCTATCCCCTGGGCCTGCCCTCCCCACCCCAGCCCCATGCCTACCCACCTCAGGAATCCACAGGGCGCAGCTGACGTGCACCCACTTGGTCCCACTTCTAGTGGGCTTCAGGGCTCCTCCTCGCTTGGGGCAGAGCAGGCACTTTGGCTGGACTCCCAGGGCACACGTCCGGCACAGCCAGCTCCCCGTAGGCACCTTGAGGATCCCGTAGCATGCCTAGGGAGAGAGGGAGGTCATGACTTGGCTGAAAATGGTGCCAGGCCCAGCCTATGGGTAAAGCAATGAAGACTCCAGCCTGGCAAGAGACTCCGGGGGGGGAGGGTTGTCATCTAAGGGCTCCTAGAGGGTTCTTTGCCTACCTAGCATGGCTGAAATCCCTCCATTTCCCCTTCTTCTGGGAAAGGACTCAGAGATGCCCTCTGCTGGGAGGAAATTCATTCTAGCCAACTAGCATGGATTTCAGGAGGATCCATAAACCGCACCTCTTAGGTGGAATATGAAGAATTGCCTCTAGGCTAGGTATTGTCAAGTCACACCTGTAATCCTAGCTACTCAGTAGGTGGAGATCACAGTTTGAAGCCATCCCAGGCAGGGAAACTGTACGAGACTCTTACTTCCAATCAACCACCACACAGCTGGAAGAGCTCTGTGGATCAAGTATTAAAGTGCTAACCATGAGCAAAACAAAGTTCAGGGACAGCACCTAGGCCTTGGGTTCAAACCCCAGTATCAGAACATAAAGAAATTGATTTGATGCCTTCTTGTAAGATCAAGGCCCAGCGCCTTCTTCTTTTTACAGTTCTATGAGCAGGGTTCTTTCTGGTCATGTTTAAGTTGGGAGGGATCAAGCGTGGCTGGGTGGAAGTAGGAAGTCAGAGCCAGCTCGGACTTCCCCAGAGTCTGGTGCAGCTGCAGTGTGAGCCTGAACGTCAGAGCCAGAGTGCATTCTTGGGTCCTAGCCAGGACTTCCAGAAACAGCCTGAAGATATCCAAGCCTTCTCTTATCTTGGGGAGTTCTGGATAAGTTGGTGATGGGGCTTGAACTTAGAACCTGGCTATTGTCTCTGAGGATTTTTTTTTTGCTCAAGGTTAGCACTCCACCACTTGAGCCACAGCTCCAATCCTGAATTTCTGGTGGTTAACTAGAGATAAAGAGTCTCATGGACTTTCCTGCCTGGGCTGGCTTTGAAAAACCGTGATCCTCTTAGATCTTTGCCTCCTGAATAGCTAAGATTACAGATGTGAGCCACTGACACCCAGCTGTACTTATTTCCTAATAGCACTAATGGTAACAATGGCTCATAGTCTTGACTGTGTTAAGAACTCGTAACAAGCAACTTAATCTTCTCAAACTCACTTTCCTTTTTCTGCAGTGCTGGTACCCTGGTGGCCTATGAAACCCTACAATCACACACAGCCTGTCTGCAGTGTGGGGGGAGGGGGGTCCCCTACCTGGTGGACACAGACGTTGCATTTGTCACAGAAGACCATCTCGTTGCCGTCCTCACCCTCAGGAGAGCGACACACATCACATACGACGTCCTCGTCGTACTCGATGCCCAGCCCCTCCTGTGTCTCAATGGCTCGTGTCATATTCTGGTGGCACAATGTCTCCAGCTCTTCCAGCACACGCTCTAAAGTCAGCTCATCCAGCTCAGGTCTCTCTACAAGGAGGAAAACAGGGTGTGGGGAGGAGAGATAGTATCCGTGTTAGGAAATCCAGCATCCCTTGAAGTCTGAAGAGGCCTCAGATCCTGGGGCTGCAGCAGACTGAGAGAATGTCTCCAAAGGTTCATTGGCCTACTGGGACAACTAAGGAAAACTGGGCATAGGAGGGACTTTCTAGCAGAGGCCAGACCATCCACCTTGGCCTCTGATCTCACTGAAGACAGGCTGCCTAAGACCACATGGACAAATGTGTGTTCAGAGAGCGTGGAGTGTATAGAGTGGAGCTGGTTTAAATACACTCCTGCTATATCCCCTGGTGTTGGCTAGAATCTACCGCTGGAGCCTCTGTAGGATGAAATGTTCCAAAAGTGGTTGAATACCAAAAAGCTGGGCTTTCCTGGGTGAGGCCAATTACTGGGCTCCAGCCAGAAGAACCAGCCTCCCCCCACGCCCCACTGATTAGCTCCATCATATGCTCCCGTATTCTTTTATTTTCTTTTTGGTTGGCTGTGGGCTTGAACTCAGGGCCTGGGTGCTGTCCCTGAGCTTTTTCATTCAAGACTAGCGCTCTAGCACTTGAGCCACAGAGCCACTTCCAGTTTTCTGGTGGTTAATTGGGGGTAAGAGTCTAAGAGTCTCACACTTTCCTGCCCGGGCTACCTTCAAACTACGATCCTCAGATCTCAGCCTCCTGTGTAGCTAGGATTACAGGCGTGAGCCACTGGCGCCCAGCTCCCTTATTCTTTTATTTGCCAGTTCTGAGGTTTGGACTCAGGGCCTCGGGATTGCTTGGGTGGTGCTCTACCACTTGAGTCACACCTCCAGTCTGGCTTTTGCTGGTTATTTCAGAGATGACAGTTTTAAGGATTTTTCTGTCCAGCCTGGATCTGAACCTCAGTTCTCTGGCTCAGCCTCCTGACTAGCTAGGATTTTAGGAATAAGTTATCAGCATCTGGAAAGTTCATTCTTATTCTTCATGTGACATGCCATCATTCATTCCCCTCAAACTCCATGAATACCTATCATTGCTCCCAGCTGATGGCTGCAGAAGCTTCAGATATAAAGAACCAAAACTATAGCCATCGGAGAGCAGCAGGACCCCCACCCTGTCTGGGCCACTGTCTTTCAGGAGGGGAGGAATGTGAGGCTAGAAAGAAAATGCCAACCCCCTGTCCCAGCCCCATTCCTGGCACAGTGAACCACCTACCCATCAACTTGAGCTCTGAGTTGAGGATTTCCAGCCAATAGACATCAATCTCATCCAGGTCATAGCGGCTAGTCCAGGCAGGCTGGGAGCCCTCACCAAGTGCAGAGTTGCTTGAGGATGTAGAGGGGCCTTCCAAGGGTGGGAGGAGCCTGAGAAATCAAGAGAGAGTGTTGTAGAGCAAGGGGCATTAGCCTGCTCCTCCATTAGCCTGGAGAATCCAGTGAGTTGGTGGACCAACTCACTATTAGTTGTGGGGCTTGAACTCAGGGCCTGGGCGCTGTCCTTGAGCTTTTTGCTCAAGGTTAGTTGCTCTAGCACTTTGAGACCCAGCACCACTTCTGGTTTTCTGGTGGTTAATTGGGGATAAGAGTGTCATGGCCTTTCCTGCCTGGGCTGGCATCAGATCATGATCCTCAGATCTCAGCCTCCTGAGTAGCTAGGATTACAGGCGTGAGCCACCAGCATCTGGCTGAGCTGAGATTTTTTTTTTAAATTTATTATCTTTAAGTAGTTGTACAAAGAAGTGCCCATTCTACAAAACAGTATATGAATACAAAGTGTCTGACAACATTGCCACCCATCGCTCCTAACCCAAACCTTCTCTCACTTTCTTTTCTTCTTTTTTAAAAGAATTGTGATTAGGTGACTATATAAATTTCACAGATTTTACAGTATTGTGGGATAGTGACACTTAGTTAAAGTCACAAACACCTTTTAACCTTCACAAGGCAAATTGTCATTATCATCGTCTATAAAGTTTGTAGAATTCTATGAGCTTTGACAATACAATTACTTCTTCCACATCAGGTGATATTTACATTTCTTTCTTTTTGCTGTTCCCTCTCATTCTTCCCTTCCCATCACTGTCTTTGAGTTGCTTAGTTCATTTTCATCTATGTCCAGTGCAGCTGATGGGCTCCTCTGTTGTATGTTTTCCCATTTCCCACTGATTCTGTCCTCCTCCTGGTGTCCCTCCATTGAGCTCATATATATACCATATATGTGGTCAGAAACATGGAGTCATTTAGCAATGATATGACAAAATGAGTGATGAGTACCAGTCCTTTGTTTCTCAAGTCCGTTTACTTTGTCATATCTCTACATTTTGGCTTTAGCATCCACATATTAGGGAGAGTATGTGTCGTTTGTCTCTCTGCTCTTGGCTTACCTCGTGAGCTGAGATTTTTTTTTTATCATTCATGGGGCTTGATCTCTGGGCCTGAACGCTGTCCCTCTACTCTTCAGCTCAAGGTGAGCGCTCTACCACTTGAGTCACAGTGCCACTTCTGGTTTTCTGGTGGTTCACTGGAGATAAGAGGTTCACAGCTTTTCCTGCCCAGGCTGACTTTGAACCATGATCCTCAGATCTCAGCCTCCTGAGTAGCTAGGATTAAGGCGTGAGCCACTGGCACCTGGCAGTGAACTGAGATGTTAATGCCCAGTAGAGCTCGCTCTCTTCTCTCCCCTTTCCCCTTCCTCCATTATCTGCCCACCATACAGATCAGATGACTGCGGGTTACACAGGATGAAGAAGACCCAAAAGGCTGTGCAGAAAAAACTGACCTGCAGCTTTGGTTCACCATACCCACATCTACCCTGCTCAGCCAGAGCCAATTCCACTCTCCTCGCCTAAAAAACCTAGTGGGATAGAGCCAGATATGTTTCAGGACTTTAAGTCCCTTTGGTCTTAAAGCCTGAAAATGCCAAGGTCTTCAATAAAATTGAGTCTAGGCCAGGCACTAGGTGACTCACGCCTGTAATCCTAGCTACTCAAGAGGCTGAGTTCTGAGGGTTAAGGTTTGAAGCCAGCCTGGGCAGGAAAGTCTGCGAGACTCTTATCTCTAAACGAACTACTCAGGGGCTGGGAAGGTGGCTCAGTGGTAGAGCGCTTGCCTTGCATGCATGAGGCCCTGGGTTCGATTCCTCAGCACCACATAAGCAGAAAAAGCTGGAAGTGGTACTGTGGCTCAAGCGGTAGAGCTAGCCTTGAGCTGAAGAGCTGAGGGACAGTGCCCAGGCCCAGAGTTCAGGCCCCACGACCGACCAAAAAAAAAAAATAAATAAAAACGAACCACTCAGAAAAAGCTGGAAGTGGTGTTGTGACTCAAGTGGTAGAACGTTAGCCTTGAGCAAAAGAAGTTCAGGAGAGTGCCCAGGCTCTGAGGTCAAGCCCCAGGACTGCTCCCCACAAAAGGAAAAACTGAGTCCAGCTGTCCTCTGGCATCAGACGGACAGATGGTTTCACCATCACTATACACATACCTGGCTCTTTCTCAGACAGGTTCACAAGCAGCAAGTCGGAGGCCAAGCTAGCTCTCTGCAAACAAATATGCACCTGCTACCAGCCCCAGATCACCTGGGAGCTCAACTCTCCTTCAGTTCTTGGGGTCCCTGAGGCCCCTTGGTAGGGCTCTGACTGCAGGTGTAGACCAAAGCCCACCTCTGCCACTGAAAGGCTCTGTGTCCTCACAAAAATGAGCTAATAACATACATACCTTATGAGAGCTGCTTAGATTGTCAGGATTTATGAAAGTAACCTTTGATAAACACAGTGTGTGTGTGTGTGTGTGTGTGTGTGTGTGTGTGTGTGTGTGTGTGTTGGAATGAAAATGCTTTGGGATCTCTACCTAACACCTCCTGAAATGGAAAGAGGCTATTTTTCCCCCCTGGGCAGGGTGAGTGTCCCGTCTATGCAGCTGTGTGCTGCTCCTCAAATCCTGACACCAGTTTAAAATGCCAGCTCTTTCCATACCCCCGCCCTTTGGTTGCCATGGTTATTGCCTGGAGCCTGGCCTCCATCTGGCCAGCCTGCCAGGCCTGAGAGGCCCCCCTCACTTGCCTGGGAGGCCTCCTGGGGTCGAAGGCAGGGCTGCCAGGGGCTGTGACTCAGCGTAGGATGTGCAGGGGAGGGCAGGGCTTGAGATGGCACACAGACATGACTGAGCTGTGTGTGAGGAGGGCGCAGGCTCCAGGAAATACCCCATGTCAGCACGGGGACAGGAAGGAGGCAAGGCGCAGGGAAGCAGGGGCCCAAAGCAGAGAGAGGGAAAGGCCTCTTTGCAAGAAGGGAGGCTTTGAGGAGGTTGAGTGGGTAAAGGAGAAATGGAAAGGACCCCCAACAAGAGGAGCATATAAAGAGGTCCTTAATGAATGATGGTGGGCTGTTCCCACAAAGCAGGCCATTCCAAACGAAGCAATATTAACTCTTAGTCCAACCAGTGCAGTTGCAAACTGTCACTTCTTTTTCCTTTTTAAAGCACGGCCTCATGAATTTGTCACAGCCTGGCTTATGGGTGCCCTAAGCATATGCTTAGTCAGAATTTGGGGCACTCTTTGTCCAAAGGGTCACCTACCAATATAACACCAACCACTCCTGGCTTGCCTGCCAGCTAGCTACACCCCTGGGAACCAAGATCCAGGTCTTCCCTCTGAGGAAGCAGAGCTCAGAGCTGCCTTACAAACCAGAAAAGGCACTGCCTGTGTTTCTTGGGGTTTCCAACTATGAGCTACCTGCTCCGATTGGTCCCTGGAAGGCTTACCAGGGTAGGACATGGCTGTAGATCTGCCTCTCAGCCAGCAGCCCTGAGCTTTTAGCAAGGAGGATGCAGAAACTGGGCCGAGATCTAAGGGGAGGGAGGGATTTCTAGTCAAGAGGAGCAAACAGATATCAGAGGTTCATTTTTGCCCTGGGCTGAGTCTTCTGGCCACATTGAGCAGGGGCATTCATCCAGAGAGCTTTGAGACCAGGAGATGGGTACATGTGTCCAAAGGCTGGGAAGGAAGCAAGAGACTGGGACTGTAGCATTCAGGCCCATCATTCTTGCTATGGGCTTCACAAGGACAACCCAAGGTTTATTCTTGTGGCCTGTGATTTCCTGGCCCCAGCAGCCCTCCCCAGGCCCCCTGTGGCCTCTGCAGGAAACTCCCCAGAATTTCCCGACTTCCTCTCATCTAGCTAATCTGAGTAGTTTGTAAAGCAAGGAAGATCATTCAGTGAGAAGATGAACACCAACAGCTGTAGCACAAAGCCAGGAGTCCAGGCAGGAAAGTCTGTGCGATTCTTATCGCCAACAAGCCAGCAAAAAGCTGTGGCTCAAGTGGTACAATGTCAGCTTGGGGTGAAAAAGCCAAGCAAGAGTGTGAGGCTCTGAGTTCAAGCCCCAGTTCCGGTAAGAAACCAAAAGAGGCTCAGCACAGCAAGGCCTTAGGTACAAACCCTCCAATCCATGGTGATTATGGCTGCCCAGGTTTCCAGGGAGACAGAGGGGCTGGGCTGGGGGAGATAGCGAAGGGGCTGGGAAGAGCAGGGAGAACTCTCTAAGAGGATCCCTGTCCCTGCCCCCCAGGCTATTCTCTCCAAAGCTCAGACAGGCTGCGAGTGCCTGGCTCAAGTCAGCCCAGCTCAGCCATGTGTATGCTGGGAATGCACCTCATAAAGCCAAGACAATGCAGACACGTGTTCCCTTCCTGATGTCAACAGATAAAGTACCCGTCGGGCAGACCAAAGCCAAGCTACTGGTGTGGAAGCATCTGTAATTCATTACCCAGGCCAGCGGATGTTTCCAGAACCACCTGATATTGGCATCAAGGAGAAAAGACAGATCTGATTAGAACCTGCCTCTCTGCCTGGCAGATGGCCTGCCCCGCCCCACCATCCTAGACGCACATGGGGACAACATGCCATGGGTGTTCTCATTTAATCCTCACCGCTATATCCTCCAGCAGGTACTGGAATTATCTCTATCTTACAGAAGAGGAAACTAGCCCAAAGAGGTCCAATCACAGGTCTTTGGTCTGACAAGGAACTTCACCCATGATGCAGAAGGGGATACAGAGAATTAAAAATCTTCCATGCAGGCTGGGCACTGATGGCTCATGCTTGTAATCCTAGCTACTCAAGAGGCTGAGATCTGAGGATCACAGTTCCATGCTAGCCCAGGCAGGAAAGCCCATGAAACTCTGATCTCCAATTAACCACCAGAAAACTGGAAGTGGTCCTATGGCTCAAGTGGTAGAGCACTGGCCTTGAGCAAAAAGAGCTTAGAGACAGTGCTCAGGCCCTGAGTTCAAGCCCCATGACCACTACCACCAGCAAAAAAGTCTTCCATTCTTTCTCACATTGAGCATTTATCTCCAAGCTTACATTGAGCATGTATCTCCAAGCTTTCTAGTCAGTCCAGGGTTCCTCTGACTCCCAGAAGGCCCCACGCAAGTGTCACTGGCACTCAGCCCTCAGCGCACCTGGGCAGGGCCACAACACCTGTGATCCATACCCAGCACAGGACTGGCACTAAGCCGTTTGTGTGGCACATACAAACCAGTCATAAAGCTGGTCGCCAGGAAGTGATGGTGCCAATGTCAAGAGAAGGGACAGCTGTGATCTACACGGGCTCAAGGATAACCATGCGGCTGCCAAGGCTGGGAAGGGCCTGCCAATAACCCAAGCTGCCCAGCTTAAGCAGGCTGATGGGGAGAGGGGGGACACCAGGCCTCTTTGCCCTGAGGGGTCCCCAGGGTGCCGAGAGAAACACATAGCACTGTATCTAGAGGCAAAAGCCACATGGATGTCCTGCCAACGGCTTCCAGAAGTCTCTCTACCCCTTAGACCAGCAGGCTTTGCAGTCCATTGAGGACTTCCTTTCTGACTCAGTCCTACAGGCAACTCAGAGGCTGGTCTACTAGCAACAATTTCCAAAGCATCTACTGTGTGGGCATCTGGCTCCCCCTCTTTAGCCCCTCTTAGAGGGTCCTTTATAAGAAATGAAAAGCTGGGCACTGATGATTCATGCTTAGAATTCTAGCTATCAGGAGGCTGAGATATGAGGGTTGCTGTTCAAAGCCAGCCTGGGCAGGAAAGTCTATGAGACTCTTTATCTCCAATAAATTACAGAAGAAAAAAAAAAAGCAGGAAGTGGCACTGTGGATCAAGTGGTAAAGTGCTAGCCTTGAGCAAAAGAAGCTCAGGAACAGTGCGTTGGCCCTGAGTTCAAGCTCCAGGACTGGCCAAAAGACAAAAAGAAAAAAGACAAATGAAGATCCAAGGATGGAGGTGCATGCAGCCCCCTTCCTTGTCCTCTGCCTCAACAGCGCCCCCCAGCCTGGTGATTTGGCTCACCTCACCACAGGCTCTGGAATAGCTTCGGCCCCAGCAGGAACCTGCACACCTTTCTCCCATTCCTGTCGCCATGGGTCTGCCAGGATGTAATAATCATCTGGGCTGAGCTGGTATGAATCTGGGATCTTCATAGCTGTAATCAAGTCGGTCCGGAAAACCTGGCAGGGGAGAGAGGGGCAGGAATGGAGTCAGGGTGACCTGCTCCACAGGCCAGCGAAGAGGCAGAGAAACACAACGGAAGTGAGCCTTCTGCCTGCTCTCTTATAAATACAACAAACGCAGTAAGAATAATGCAAGCAGGGCACCAGTGGCTTATACCTGTAATCCTAGCTACTCAGGATGCTAAGATCTGAGGATTGCTCTTCAAAACTAGCCCAAGCAGGAAAGTCCATGAGGCTCTTATTTCCAATTAACTAGCAAAAAGCCAGAAGTAGAGCTGTGGCTCAAATGGTAGAGCACTCAGCCTTGAGCAAAAAAAGCTAAAGGACAGTACCCAAGCCCTGAGTTCAAGTGTTTGTATTGGCACTGGCATATATACACACACACATACACTCCAAAAATTGTGACAAACTTAATTCATGTTGTTTTTGACTCACTGAAGTACAAGTTACAAGAAGAGAGAGATGGGCTGGGAAGGCGGCTCAGTGGTAGAGTGCTTGCCTTGCATGCATGAGGCCCTGGGTTCAATTCCTCAGCACCACATAAGCAGAAAGAGCCAGAAGTGGCGCTGTGGCTCAAATGATAGAGTGCTAGCCTTGAGCTGAAGAGTTGAGGGATAGTGCCTAGGTCCAGAGTTCAAGCCCCACGACTGACAAAAAAGGAGAAGGAGAAGGAGAAGAAGAGAGAGATGGAAATGGACCTGAGAGAGAAGGGTAGGGGCTGGCGGAGGAAAAAAAAAAGCAACAGCAAAAAGACAAAAAAAAAAAAATCAAAGGGCAGAAAGGCTTCTGAGAATGTAATACTAACAGTATGTTCAGGGAATCACTAGGGGAAGTTTAAATCGTGTTATGGATTCACACTAGATAAATCTTAATGCTGGGGTGTGGGGGAGGGGCGTTGGCCTTCCCCAGGCTCCCTTCTATCAGATTCAGCACGAATGTCTGCCATCAGGGGGCGTCGTTACTGACTGTGTGCAACCTGCTGGAACCCAAGACCATGTGGGAAGCAGCTGAATGGGTGCACCGGGTGGGCCTAAAGGCAGCAACCTGCAGAATCTAATTACTGTCTGCCTCTAGCTGGGGAAAGCCCTGGCTTGAAAAAGGTCAAGTTTCTTGAAGACTCTATTTGCCAATATAATTTAATTGTTAAGACTAACACCCTAACATTTAATTAGGGTGCCAGTGTGAAAAAAATTAAAATCAGATTACGATTAAATGTTAATTAAACAGAAGATGGAATGTGGTGAAGATTTCACAGCCCTGATAATTTGCATATGTTATTAGCAAGCAGTAAGACGGCTAATGGGAGAGTGTAAACTCAAGCAACCCACACTCTTAGGCACCGCGTGCTTTGGGGGGTGTTTATAAAAGCAGCTGCCTTTGCTGACAGAGAGACCTCTTCTCACAGAGGCCTCTGGAGATTCTGCCATAACCAGCAGAGCAAGGGACAATATTAGTGCCCTAGGGGTACTCAGCACAGAATTTGGCAAACCTAGGATCTAAGCTGACCCCCAAAAGGGATCTAGGATGGTTGCTCTGAGCTGGAGTTTGTCTACCTGAGACAAAGCTGTTAGCTAACCTTCTATTAGCACCTAGAGGATACTTCTCTAAAGAGGCCTGGATGTGGGTGATTACAACCTGCTTGTAAGAGCCATGCTCTTCAGCCCTTTGTGGCATACTTTTCAAGCGGGATCTGGCAGTGTTGTTGGTTTGCCTGGGACCTGCTTCAGATGACAATCCCCCCCCCCCCCCACAGAGCTGGGGTGACAGGCTTAGACCTACCACACCCAGATCCTTGGTTAAGATGGAGGGTCTCCCTAAAAACTCAAGGTCTACATGGTAGAAGCAGCAGAGTGGACCAGGACAACATCCTGAGCCATCCAGCCCTCCCCCACAGCCTCGCCACCCAATGACTTGTCACAGAAGCCAGATCAGGTGGATTTCCCAAGAGAGGGCCTTCCAGGCCTGTGTCCACATATATGTACCTATGTCTGGCCTCTCCCAAGAACCCCTAAGCCTCCCATCCAGGAAACCCAGCCCCAGGTGACACTCTCCTGGGAAGTGTTGCTCAACACCAGCTTCTGGGCTTTAGCTGAACTACCATGGCCCTTACATTAAAATCTCCTGGCTTTCTGCCAGGTCTTCCTCCTGCAGGTGAGCTCAACCTGGCACAGCCAAGGTGCTAACAAATGTGGTATGACTCAAGATCCTTCCATAGATCAGACTCTTGGACTGCTACCCAAGGCCCTAAGTGAGCAGCTGGGGACTCCATTACCTTCCAAAGTAGTCTGTCCATTTCTACGAAACCTGTCCACAGACAAGGCACCTACACATCTGTTTGTTCTGAATTACTGAGAGTTAGGCTTGGAAAAGGCTAACTCTTCTAAAACTCCTAAAACACTTAAAGAAAGGGTAAAATGGACACTGAAGAATGGGATTCTTGCTGCAGCAAGGAAGTTAGGAGCTGGAGAGCAGCAATTTTCCTAGAATGTGAATGGTTACTACTTTTCTCTTTTAGCCGAAATTGACAAATCGTCTTTCAAGGGTTTTGCTGCCTAGCAACCAAGTTGTACTGAGCTACTTGGGAGATATTAATTGCAGCTTCCTCAAACAGTGTAAAAGATGTTTAAAGGCCTCAAACTCTTATTTAATAATCAACCTGAGTGCTGGGGGTGCCCCATTACCCTGGACAAGGGGGGAGACCCTCTGATGCTCAGATGTGTCACCCAGGAATATACTACATGACCCTGACTGGCTGCTCCTTTTCCTGTCACAATGATCTGAAAGTTTAGCTCTTTATACCTTTTTCCCCGGGAAGAGCTGAAAGCAAGCAGTTTAGTAAAGCCTAAGTAACATCTCAGTGACTTCCAAAAGCAAATAATGACTACAGGTAACTTCTGCTGACACGGGCCAGGAGTTCCAGGACACTGTAGTGTGATTTATGGCTGCCATTTGAACATTTCATCCTGAAACCTTGGTTCTTCGCTTCCTTAAGAAATGAATTACTAGCTGGGCGCCGGTAGCACATGCCTATCATCTTAGCTACTCAGGAGGCTGAGATCTGAGGATCATGGTTTGAAGCCAGCATGAACAGGAAAGTCTGTGAGACTCCAATTAATCACAGAAAAAGCCAGAAGTGGAACTGTGGCTCAAGTGGTAAAGCACTAGGCCTTAAGCAAAGAACTCAGGCCCTTTGTACATCACCTTTATGATAACAATTTAAAAAGAAAAAGAAAAGAAAAGAGCTCAGGCTCAGATTTCTAGCTCCAGGACCAGCAAAAAATAATAACAAAAGAAGAACTGAATCACTACAGGGTACCAGTGTCTCACATGCCTGTAGTCTTACTCAGAAAGCTGAGATCTGAGGATTGTAGTTCAAAGCCAACCAGGGATTGGAAAGTCCATGAGACTCATCTCCAGTTAACCACACACACACACACACACACACACACACACACACACACAGCTAAAAGAAGAGCTATGGTTCAAGCGGGAGAATATAAACCCTATGATAAAGAATATCTCACTCCAAAGCAAATGTACAGTTAAAATTAAGTACAAACACCAAAGAAGGCCTCTTGGAAAAGTCACCCGCTACCTAGTCATATTTCAAGCTACTACGAGGTTAAGTTGGTTTTATTTACTTAAAAAGAATAATAACTTAAAAATCCACTCAACATTTCTTTCTCTTATTTTCCTAAGGATAACATCACTTCCTGCTCTTAAAGGAGAATTTATTACGCACATTTCTTTTGCAAGACAAGTCCCAGAGGCCGGAGGCCCTCCCTTCCAGCTGGCGGAGCAGCAAAGCTCCCGACAATACTGAAAGTGGATCTCACACTCACACACACACTCCAGAGTGACGCTCAGAATGCAGGTGTCTGGCTCAGCAGAAGGCTTCTCCCCTCTTCCCCGTGGCCTGCTAGGAGGTCTGGAAACCTAACCTAAACCACAGGGCAGGCCCAGAACCTGTGTGCGGTTCTCCCAACTTTTGAGAGCATTTTACATAGTACTACAACAGATATCACCCTTGTTTTAATATACACTAGGTTACTCCAAACTTCTGGGAAATATCTCTGCTCCTCCTCTGCTGCTTTTTAGTTATTTATTAGAGAGGATTACTGTGTTCCGTTTTTTGCCAGGACTAGCTTCAGACTGTGATCTTTCTATTTCCCTCAGCCTAGAATCACAGGAGTGTGCAACCAGGCCTTATGGCAGGCTTAAGACCCTCCCCCACCTGTTTTTGTGCTAGTACTAGGGTTTGAATTCAGGGCCTGGGCGCTGCCTTTTCGGCTCTACCACTTGAGCCACAGCTCTACTTCTGGTTTTTTACTGGTCATTTGGACATAAGGGTGCCCTGGACTTTCCTGCCTCAGCTGGCTGTGAATGGCAGTCCTCAGATCTCAGCCTCCTGAGTAGGTAGGGTTACAGGCGTGAGCCACTAGTGCCTAGCTAGGAACCCATTCTTAAAGACTGGAACAAGTTGCTGCACTTTTACTGCCACTAGAGTCAGGCAGGGGAGAGGGAAAGGGCGTCCTCATACAGGAACTTCAGAGGCCAGAGGGTTTGGGGACATCCCTTGCTGAAAGCAGAAGTTGTTTTCTCAGGCCCTGTCCCTGAGGACATTCTGTCCCTGGTCATCTGGAAAGGGCTCCTGGGCAACATGCAAAGGCCCCATTTCTTCCTCTAGGTCCACACTGATTTGTCACCAAGGGCTACAAAACAGGTGACCACTGGATCCCAATGCCCACGCCCTTCTGATTCTGGCACCTCCTTATTCTGTCTCAGGAATGGCTTGTTTACTTGATACCCCCAAAACCCTGGCTCCCTTCCTTCACTTTTGGCTGCCCCATCCCCAGGTTGCTTGGATCCCAGGGAAAGGATCTCCGGAGTAGGGTCCACAGAGGACTCTACAGATGATGATCCTGAGGTGAAGAAAGAGAAGTATCACTTGCCAAGAGTCAGAGTTCCTTGGTGGCTAAGCCAGGGCCCTCAGGCAAAGCAGGCTGCATCTCCCATAACCGACACTTCCCTGCGCAAGCACCTGCATCCTGCTGACAGCCAAGAGGACAAGCTCCCCAGGGAGAGGGCCTGTGCTTGCTTTCCTCTGGCACTGGCCAGCACTGGCCTCCTAGGGCTTACTGATCTCATTCAGTGCCAACAGTAGCACTGGGGTCCACATGTGCTCTCTGGCTTCGCTTCTGGGGATGATGACTTCATGAAAAGACTGATTTCTACGCCTCCAGCCAGCCTGCCAGGGGAAATCCCCACTGCTTGCTCTGTGTTTCCTGCTTCTCAGTCTACCCCCAGGCCTGAGGAAGACACAGCCTCCAATACAAACCACAGGGCTGGCTTCCAGGTCTCTAAGGTCTCTTCCCCAACCGTCCTTCGCACCTGGTAGAAACATGTCGGTTTCTGAGCACCAGTGAGGAGAAGAGCTGGAGAGTGTGACCACCTACCTGCATGCTAGGGCCAAGCCTGAAGTTCCAGAACCAGGCTGCCACAGCTTGTACTATCCCTCCCCGACCCACAACCAAGAAGCTTCTGGGGAACAATAAGCCAGGAACTCCTAACTTAGGCAAATGAAGGGGATGTCTGCAGCTGAAGCTCTAACCCAGACCCCCAGCCAGAAGGTTTCTATTTATTTAAGTATTGGTACCTCCGTCTGCCCCAGACCACTTAAAACCAGTGGGGATGGATGGAAGACTGTTTCTAGCAAGTGCAAGAGTTATCTCCAATCAGACAGCTTCTCCGAGGTGAGATCCACAAAGACCAAAGGCTAGGTTACCAGGCAAGACAGGCCCGGCCCACCCCATAGGCTCCAGCAGAATTGACACAATAATGCCAACAAGGCACAACAAAGGCTCTCTAGGCAGAGCTCCTCCAAGCAGAGGAAGGATGCACGCTGTGACCCAGGCTCCATTCCTTTCACTGCTCAAGGAGATCCTGGGGGAAGATTTTAGAGTTTTATGGATATCACCAAAATCCCAACCCAGATTCCTAGTATCCGAGAGCCATCCCTTCTCGGCACTCCAGATTAAGGGCTAGATGGGAAGCTGGGCCAGAGGACCCCAGCCCTGTCCAGGGTCCTGACTCCTGGTCAGTACTTTCTTCAGCCCAGGGACACTTCACTCTGTGTTCAAGGAACCACCTGTTAGACACATTGGTCCATACTGGGAATGGTGTCTACCTTGCCTAAAGCCCCAGCCCCAGACATATTAATAGTGGTTGGGGAATGGGAGGCTGAGTGACCACCGTCAGTGTGATGCTGAACACTTGCATCCTTAAATTCCCTACCCCACCCAGGCCGCAGTGGCTCATACCTGTCATCCTAGCTATTCAGGAGGCTGAGATTTGAGGATCATGGTTCAAAGCCAGCCTCAGCAGGAAAGTCTGTGATACCTTTATCTCTAAAGAATCACCAAAAAAGCCATAAGGTGCTGGGCAAATGGGTTCCAAGAATGTCCCTTCTGCCAGGATGCCCTATGCCCTCTCAGACCCCAGTGACCAGCAAGGTCCCCTCCCTCTTCCAGCCCATTCACAGAAGAGCACACAGTAGACCAGAGAGCAGATTTAGTGCCAATAGTTTCGACAGCCAAGTCTTTGCTTTCCTCTCCACCCTCTTGTGAGCCAAATATTTTGGAAGCTTTCACTAACAGCTTCTTCTCTACCCCACCATAACTCAGAATTTATGCCGGCCACAGCTCAACCTTCTCATTTAGAGGGTGAAGGAAACCTCACAGGTTGCTCTCCAGCTGGCTATGCGAAGAAGAGCTTGTCCTTGGCCAGGGTTCAAGGGAGGGAAGACTCCTCAGCCCTCTAGGAGCCCAAAGCTGGGAGGAGGAGGGGGAAGGGAGAAGAGGAATGCGTCTAGGTAAGAACTCACAGCCACCTTCAGAGTCTCTGGGTGTTGGCCTGGGCCTATAAAGCCAGTCCCCAGTAGGGCCCTTACCCACAATTCCACTCTATTTTTAGGCACAGAGGCCCTGGGCTGGAAAACCCAAGAGGCAGGGGAATTTTCTGCCCTATGCAAATTGTTCTTTCTGTTCAGCGTTGGCTGACACCTGTTTCCTCCCAGTCAGGCCTGTGATCCTGGGTATAGACAGCCTCCCTGCTTGCCCTCCCTTCTCCCCCCGCCCCCAACTAATTGGGACCTGGATGGAGAGAACTGGACAGGGGAAGGGACCCGTTTTAACTGAGCTTAGCATCAAATGAAGGGGCCAGCCCTGGAGTTCCCCCCCCCGCCCCCCCACCTCCACTCCCAACTGAATAGCCCTAGAGGGAGTAGGCAGGATTCTGTGAGGATCCTCAGTTTTCCAATGGGTACAATAGCACCTGCCTCTCAGGACTACATATATGTTCATCTTACTTTACTTATTTTAATTTTTGCTGCTCCTAGGGCTTAAACTCAGGACCTGGGAGCTGTCCCTAAGCTTCTTTTGCTCAAGGCTAGAACTCTACTAATTGAGCCACAGCTCTACTTCCCACTTTTTTTTTTTTTGCCAGTCTTGGGACTTGAACTCAGGGCCTGGGCACTGTCTTTGAACTTTGTTTGCTCAAGGCTAGCACTCTACCACTTGAGCTACAGCACACTTCTAGCCTTTTCTGATTATATGATACTAAGGAATTGAACCCAGGGTTTCATGCATGCTAGGCAAGTGCTCAACCACTAAGCCACATTCCCAGTCCTTCCCACTTTTTTATATAGTTAATTGGAGGTAAAAGCCTCATGGACTTTCCTGCTTGGGCTGACTTTGACCATCAATCCTCAGATCTCAGCCTCCTGTGTAGCTAGGATTGCTAGGCTTGAGCCACTGGTGCCTGGCTAGAGGAGCTTTTAATTACAGTACCCGATTGTGTCATCTGGTCTACCATCCTTGAAAGGCCCCTCTCAAATCAACAGCATCAGCTTTCCAACAACTTACCAAGTGCAGGTAAACTGCCCTATAGCCACCACCATCTCCCCACCACACTGCGGTGTCAGCCCTCTCCCAGGAATGCTCTGTCTCCCTATGTCTGACAATCTTGGTATCAGGCCATACCTGGGACTAAGACAATCCAATTCTTCCTCCACTTAAACATAACTGTCTGTCACAGAGCGCTAGTGGCTCACGCTTGTAATCCTAGCTACTTAGGAGGCTGTGATCTGAGCATCATGGTTGGAAGCTAGCCAGGGCAGGAAAAGACCATGAGACTCTTATTCCCAGTTAACTACTCAGAAGCTCAAGGACAGCACTTGGGCCCTGAGTTCAAGCCCCAGGACCAGCAAAATAAAAGCTCCAAAAAAACAAACGCATAAATGTCTGTACCCCTCCTCCCCCAATGGACCGAATGCTTCCTTTGTCCCTTCCCATGGTACACTTTCTCTGTGTTAATCTTTCTCTGCCCTTCACCACTTCTCTTTACTTGGAATTCTAGGGTGATCTTTAAAACATGTGGAACCCTTGCAGTTAGACCTCCAGACCACAGGTGTCAGCTCCGGGCACCTCTTCTGGAGGCTCCTCACCACCCACCTCGGAAGGCTTCTTCTCGTTCTGCCGGGGCCAGCCCGACTTGGTACTGCTGGGCAACTTGGAGCATCTTGAGCCTGATGCAGACACGGATGCAGATGCTGATGCAGATGTAGCATGACCTGCAGACAGAATTGAGCTTGTGAGGCAAATTAGAAGGCCAGGAACACCACTCACCAAGTGTAGTTTGCCTCTAAGCTGTGGAATGCATGATCAGGAGGTGGAGGCCTCTCTAAGCAATGTCCAATGATGAATTGGAGACACAACGCTTCTCTCTTCCACTCACCAACTCCTGGGGTGGTTTTCAGGGGTCTGTGTTAGCTTACTATGTGGCCCAGACAAATCCTAGCCCTTTTGGGAGCGCTGCTTGCTCCTCAGTTAAGAGTAGAACAAGTTTCAGGCATGCTCCACATAAAGAACATCACCAGAGTCTGGGAGGATTCCAGGAGGATGCAAAGGCAGGGAGCCAAGAGCAATGGGAAGTGTTGCTCTGAAGTAGATGCAGAAACTACCAGGCTCGGGGCTGGGAAGGTGGCTCAGTGGTAGAGTGCTTGTTTTGCATGCATGAGGCCCTGGGTTCAATTCCTTAGCACCACATAAACAGAAAAAGCAGGAAGTGGCGCTGTGGCTCAAGTGGTAGAGTGCTAGCCTTGAGCTGAAGAGCTGAGGGATAGCGCCCAGGCCCAGAGTTCAGGCCCCAGCACAAAAAAAAAAAAAAAAAAAGAAACTACCAGGCTCTATCTCTGACCCAGTATCTTATGAATATACCACCATAGGGTTAATAGGATTCTGCAATACAGTCTTCTATGTAGCCTGGGCTAGACAAGATCCTTCTGCATCTACTTACTGAGGGCTGAGATCAAGCCTCAATTTGCGTTTGTTTGTTTGTTTCTTTTTTTCTTTCTTTCTTCCTTCCTTTCTTTTTTTTCTTGTCAGTTATGGACTTGAACTCTGGGCCTGGGCACTATCCCTGAGCTCTTTTGCTGAAAGCTAGTACTCTACCACTTTGAGCCACAGTGCCACTTCTGCTTTCCTGGTAGTTAACTGGAGATAAAAGTCTCATAGACTATCCTGCCTGAGCTAGCTTTGAACCGTACTCCTCAGATCTCAGCCTTCTAAGTAGCTAGGATTACAGAACTGAGCCATGAGCACCTGGCTAGTTTTTCTATAAAGTTACAGTGCTATGGTTTAGATAAATGCCCCCTAAAAGGTCCATGTGTTAAAGATTTGGCCCCCTGAATGGCACTGTAAGGTGTCCCATGCGTTTTTAGGACAGAGAGCCTTATGGGAGATCTTGAGGTTATTGGGGCCAATCTAATCATGGACTGAAATCTCCCAACCTGTAAGCTAAGGAAACCTTAATGATAATTATCTCATATATTTGGTTGTAGTTACATTGACTAAAGGGACAAGATGAACTGTCTTGAAAGGGAGGATTAAATGTACTATGTTCATAAAATCTTAACATAGTCTCTGGCATATAACAATTACTCAACACCAATAGTTAGTCTTGAGGCCCCTGCTAGACTACAGGACTGCAGTCTTAGTCCCCCAAGGAGCAGAAAGAAGGCCTAGGGAGACCCAATGTGACAGTGGTAGAGACTGGTAGGGCAAAGCCAGAGTTCAGATGCTCAGATGCCTCCTTCCCTGCCTTGCATTTGCCTGGCCCTTTCCTGAACTGAAGTTAGAAGTAGAGGACATAGCTATTCAGTCTAGGAAGCCAGGCCGTGAGCATGTAGCCAAAGAAGGATGATATGTTATAGGAAGGATGGGCTGGCCAGGTTGGACATCAGAGGAAAACCAAGGCATAGGTGAATGAGGGTAGGGGAAGAGATGAACCTTCTGTCTCTTGAGGGATTGTGCAACTTTTGAGAACCAGGGTAAGGAAGAGCCCTCACTAATTGGGCTGGGAAGGTGGCTCAGTGGTAGAACGCTTGCCTTGCATGCCTGAGGCCCTGGGTTCAATTCCTCAGCACCATATAAGCAAAAAGAAAAAAGTCGGAAGTGGCGCTGTGGCTCAAGTGGTAGAGCGCTAGCCTTGAGCTGAAAAGCTGAGGGACAGCACCCAGGCCTAGAGTTCAGGCCCCATGACAGGACCCCCCCCCCATAAAAAACAAATGCCACAAATTCACCATCTGCATGAACATGTCTGGAGGCACAGGGCTCCAGACCTGGCCTCCCCACTAGTATAGCTTCTTCTTTAGCCTTGGCCTCCTGCAAGGCAGTCACTGTGAGGTGAGATTGTCTTTGGCAGACTATTCCTCCTACCCATGGCAGACAGAACTCCTCAGACACAGGCAGGCCTGGCTTCCTGGGCCATTGAAGAACAGCTACTTTATGACTTCATCTCCCTTCCTTCTGAATTTCAGAGGAGGCTCCCTAAACCCATTTTCTCCTAGATAACAACCCCCTACCACCAAGCATTCACCTGGCACACCTATCCCAGACACTGAGCAAGACGTAACTCATCAGGGGAGTTTACCACTGGCTAGGAAATGATACCTATCAGATAATTATAATAGTGACAAGCTTTGCATTGATACTATAGGAATTTTCCAGAAGGGCCCTGACTCAAAAGAAAAGCCAGAGGGACTTTTTCTTCTTGCATTTCTTATGAGCAGCAAATAAAAGGTCCTTAAAGGGGCCAAGCAAGACCTAGAGAGTAGAGTGAGTATGAGAAAGGGGACAGCCAAGGCTTTGGAGGCCATTGTAAGGGCAAATGCTAGCACTCAGGAACAAAGGGGCTTGCCTTGACTTATGTTTTTGTCAGCATAGCCCTGGGTTGAGTTAAGACCACGGGGCAGCCTCCTTCCACCCTGGCTCTGGACCTGGTAACTATTCCAATGCTTTTCCAAGTGAAAGGGACTTACTGTCAGTGGTGTCCGAGTTGTCGCTGCTGATGGAGTATTTTCGCCTCTTCTCTTCCATCTGTAACGAAAGGCAATACAGGCTCACTATATTCGTGGAAGGCTTGGGAAATCCTCAAGCTCTCAGAAAAAGACTTCCATTCTCTACCTCTCCACACTCCACGAAAGACAAGACTCAACCTACCTGCCTCACCTGCTTCCTACCCCACCACCCACAGAGGCCCTATGGTGGGAAGAGGAGGAACTAGACTTTGATTGCCAAGGTAGTCCATCGAGGTTAAGGTACAATCCTAGGCATAACAGCCAGCTGGCTATGGAAGTAGGGCTACTTTCCTATCTGCCACTGTCTTTGCCCAGATCAAGTACAAACCCAGGGTATCTCAATTGGACTATCTAACTTCCAAGTCCCTGAGTAGTTCTTTTGCACGGCCCTTTATCCACTCTGTCTTGGTGAGCTGTGAGCTATAAGCTCCTTTTATCGGTGAAGCTGTGACTTGTCCTACAAGGAACTGGCTCAGCAGAGATTTGAACCCATGGTCTGAGGTCTGATCTGTGAACCTACACTGAGCTGCCTTTTGTGCAATCCATCAGCTGCATGCAGTCCATTAGAAAACTTTGCCCATACTTTTATTTCCTCTAATCCTGGGAGCAGACCCTGCTCTTGTTTGCTTGGAGGGAGCAGGCAGAGTGGCTTGATAATCTGCTCAGGGTCACACGGCTGGTCTGTGGTCAAGTTCAAGTGAGATGGATTGCATTGCAGCTTCCACACGTTCCTGCAGGGCCCAGAATGGCCTCGTTGCTCATAACCAAACACAGAGAGCCAGTCCCTGTCTTTTGGAGAAAGCCTTCAGTCTAGCCCATCTGCCAGCTATTACCGGCTGCTGCTATCCCTTAGTCTTTTCCTGTTAAGCCCTGGAGTGCCCCTATCTTGTGTGTATATGTGTGTGTGTGTGTGTGTGCGTGCACGCGTGCACATTTGCCATCCTGGGGCTTGAACTTGGGACCTGAGTGCTGTCCCTGAGCTTTTGTGCTTGAGGCTAGTACCCCACCACTTGAGTCACAACTCCATTTCTGGCTTTTTGTTGGTTCATTGGAGATAAGGATCTCAGAGACTTTTCTACCTGGGCTGGTTTTGCCTTGCAACCCTCAGATCTCAGCTTCCTGCATGGCTAGTGTTGCAGGTGTGACACCAGTGACCAGTACCCCTATCTTGCTCCAGCCCAGCAGAAACCAGGAAGCATTTGTTCATGGAACTGGAGCAAAGAAACCCACATCGCTGGAGCAGACCTGGATAATGCCCCTGTCTGGAACGTGCCTTAACTATGAGCTTCTCAGTACTCCAACAGCAGGAAGGTTCATCAGGGCTGATGGCTTGCTGTACAATTTCAGAGGTATGCAGGGCTCTGCAGAGGGTGACAGACTGAAGGGCAGCTGTCAGAGTAAGCAACTCAGGTGCCACTGCAGAAACAGAGTTAGCACAGGCTCTCAGGCACTCACTGCCAGCTGGGCACTGGTGGCTACACTAGCTACTCAGGAGGCTGAGATCTGAGGACTGAGGTGTGAGGCCAGCATGGATAGGAAAATTGGAGAGACTCCTCAGCTAACTAGCAAAAAGCCTGAAGTAGAGCTGAAGTGGTAGAACAACAACAAACAAACAAACAAACAAACAAAAACACGAAAAGACAGTGCCTAAGTTTTTCGTTCAAACCCCAGTATAGGCACAAAAGAATACCAAACAAAATATATTCACAAGCACACACACATACAAACACACACACACACACACACACACCTTTTACCAAGGGAGATTTTGTGGTAGTTTAGTTGGAATAATAGGTAGCCTATGAGGGAACACACGATTGTATGAACAAAGCTTTCTTCTTTTGAAGTAAAGTCCATTCTGAAGGCTTCCTTTCCTACCTCCATGACAAAACATCACCCCCGGCCCGCCCCCCCCAAGCTGGCCAATGAAGCCTGAAAGAATCCTAGGTCCTCTGTGAGGCTACCCTTTGCTCCACAAGTTACCTCCTGAACCCAAAGAAGACAGGAGGACTCACTGACCCAAGTCCAACTCCAAGGCTGCCATGCAAATAGTCAGGATGAGGAGGCTGAGACTTCACCTTGGCCTCTGATTTTTCCCTATCAGTCCTCCAATTTCCATCAAGGCAAAGATCTCTTCTGGGAGATGACCTCAAACAAGGCACTTAACTTTGCAAAGACAGAAAGTAGTCCTAAAATCATTTCTATAATGATTCAAGAAAGGAAGGGTCTTGTTTGTTTTTGTTGGTTTGTTTTTGCTGGTCCTGGGGCTTGATCTCAGGGCCTGGACTCTGTCGTTTAGCTTTTCTGCTCAAGGCTAGAGCTCCACCACTTGAGTCACACTTGAGCCACTTCTGGCTTTATTTGTTGGTTTATTGGAGATAAGAGTTGCATGCTCTTTTTCCGGTCTGGGCTGGTGTTGAGCTCCAGTCCTCAGATCTCAGCTTCCTAAGTAGTTAGGATTACAGGCATGAGCCACAGGTGCCTGGCTAGGAAGAATATTCTTTTGCTGCCAATCGTATCAGTAATTTGCAGGCCCCTTAAGCCTCCCCTCCCACCCCCAACATGGAGAAACTCAGCTTGGGGGCTGGGCTATGAGGGCTCACCTTTCAGAACGTATGGCTTTGTCTAACTCTACTGACCCACACCTGCCCTCATACCTCTTGCCTCATACCCCAGCCCATCTCCTTTCTGCTTGGACCCCATGTTCATTGCCTGGCTTGCACTATTACTCTCCCGTAATCCAGGGCTCCACAGGTAGGCCCAAGGGATGTTTAAAAAACATAAATCAGATCACATCGTGGCCCCACAGAAACTCTTTCAAAGGCTTCCTGCTGATCAAAGGACACATCTTGAAGTCTTGACCACAAGAGCCAGCAGAGCCCAGCTTTTGCCCACTTTGACTAGTGTAATACACTAGTGCCTTCCTCACTGCTTTCCAGCTACAATGGCCCCTTTCACTTCCTCCCACAAGCCCAAGACAGCCCATGTTTGGAGACCTGGGCACCAGTTTGTTGGCCTGCAGTGTCCTTTTATGTGGTCTATTGAGTTTCTGACTGTGCAACCTTCAAGTCTGGCTTCAGCATCATGTATGTTCGTTTTTACCCATCACTCTATCTAAAGAAATTCATCAAGCCCGGAGCTGGTGGCTTACACCTGCAATCCTAGCTACTCAGGAGGCTGAGCCCTGAGAAGATCCAAGTTCGCAGCCAGCCTCGGTAGAAAGGTCTAGGAGAGTCTTATCTCCTCCTAAACAGTAAAAAGCCATCTGTAGCGCTCAAGTGGTAGAGTGCTAGCTTTGAGTGAATGAGCTAAGAAACAATGTCCAGGCCCTGAGTTCAAAGCCCAGCATTGGCACAAACAGAAAAAAGAAAGAAAGAAAACAGAAATTCACCACCCTGCAGAATTGCAGTGAGCTACTTGTTGACTGCTCCTCCCCTTGGGAGTGGGGAAGAAGCAAGTCTGGCTAAATGTCCCAGCAACCCCTAACCTTGCACTCAGTACACAATAGGAAGTGCTGGTGTGTTCTTGTCTATAGCCCAGCTGGCCTGCCTGTGGCTGACAGGAACAAACACCCCAGTCCAGGATTCCGTGCTGTTTTCACAGCCTGCCTTCCCCATCTTGACCTCACACATTCTCCAGGAGGCTTTATTTGGCTGGGCTCCTGGCTAATGATCAATGTCAACTCAGTAATAGGGCAGCCAATTTGGTGGCAGATGTTTTCTTGGCAACACTAGCCATTGGGTCTTTGTGGGGGCCTCAGGTCTGGCCTTGAACACCACTGGCCAATGCCAGCCCCCTTTAAAGACCTCTCTGTAAATAAACTCAAATAAACACCCTGGGCCTCCATTAACGCCCCTCCATCTGACCTTGGGAACAAGTGGGCCTTTTAGACCTAGCTACTGCAGCCTCTGGAGGGGCAGTTAAAACACCCCCCCAGCCTGGCCTCGGGCCTCTCCTCTTCAGAGGCCACCAGGCCTGCCCGACCCTGCCACCACACACAGCAGGATTTCGGCCGCCTCCTTAAAACTGAGAGGGGAAAGTGGCTTTCAAGCAGGCAATTTACCATTCCAGACACAATCTTTCAAAGAGAAACAAAAACTCTCCCTGTCTGAAGCAGACTGCTAAGGCGTGTGTGTAATAAGATGCTAATACAATTTAATGATATTTCGGCTGGAAAACCTGTCCTCAGAGCCTCCTTGTGTCGGGAAGGCCAGACATTCAGAAAACAAGAGCGGCACACTCTTAAAACTGCTCGAAACAGGGGGTCAGAGCCCCACTCTTTCCCATCTCTCATTAACTTTAATGCCTTCTTAGGGACAGTAATTGCAGTTACAAAAAGGATTTTATGCACACAGGGCCCAGCGCTGCCGTCTGCCATCTTTGAGTCTGCTTCTCCAAGCCTAGGGGAACCCAGCTGCACCTCCCTCTTCTTCCATCACTACCCACCTGCAATTCTTAAGCACCCCAGTGGGACCCAGGTCCCCTAAACACACTGCTCACACCCATTCTCCATCTACTCATCGACTTGGTCTTTTAGTGTTTACTCACCCTGCTCTTCATCTCAGAGAGGGAAAAGTTTGGTCCGCTCGCTTCCATATCTGGCTGCCCATTGGCATCTGCTGGCTCCTGCTGATCTCTTCTTCAGAGAAGGAAGCTGGCACTCTGGCCAAGCCTAAAGGTGAGAGATCAAAGGTCAAAGGTGCTTTAGGTGCCCTTCTAGGTCACTAACAAGAACAGTAAGAATGGCTAGTACTAATCAAGCGCTTACCACAGGTATAACTTTGGGCTTAGGCGATCCCCCTCCACTTCCCGCCCCTTGCCTCTTGTTCTGGGGGTTGAACTCAGGACCTTACACATGATAGGTAAGTGTTCGACCACTTACCTATATCCCCAGCCCTGGGATTGGTCTTTTTTAATACACTGTTATCACTTATTACACCAGTGGTGGGCAAAGGGACTGTGGATTCACATCTAGGCTGTCCCACCTTCCAAGGGGATAATCCATTCTCAAAGGACTAAGTATATACGTAGGCTGACAATTTTCAGTATGGCTGAGAATATTCCCAACCACAGGATTGTCTAAGAGGAAACTAAGAGTACCCTGTACTCCAGAACCAGCCTTCTTCTCCTTCCTAAGTTTTGACCAAGGATGGAACCTGTGAATGTTAAGCAATTCAGGCACATGGTATGAGTTGGGTATTGGGAACACAGCCAAGCCCAGGGCTTCTCCTCTCAACTCTGTCCTGGCTTCCTCTGGCGGAATCTGAACTGTTCAGTCCCCAAACAGCCTGTTGCACGTGTTGTAAAGCACTGAGTGGAAGTTTCTGACCTGAGTCATGAGCAGGAGATAATCACCTCCCTGTTCACAGAAACACCAACTTTAACCAGAACATCCAGCCCACAGTCTCAAAAAGATGAGGGAGTCCATGTTCAAGACACTGGCTTAAGACTCTAAGACACAGCTAGGCACCAGTGTGGTTCATGCCTGTGATCCTAGCTACTCAGGAGGTTGAGATCTGAGGATTGCAATTCAAAGCCAGCCTGGGCAGGAAAGTCTATGAGACTCTTATTTCCAATTAACTACCAAAAAGACAGAAGTAAGAGTGGTGGCTCAAGTGGTAGAGTGCCATTCTTGAGCAAAAACAACAAACAGCTAAAGGATAAAGCCTAGGCCCTGAGTTCAAGCCCCTCCCCCCAAGAAAAACCGAGGTGCATCTGGAGCTTGGGGTGCAGCAGCCCCCTTCCTCCGTCAATGAGAGGTGGAAGAGATTTCTGACAGCATCTTGGATCTGAGTCACTGGCCATTTTGCCAGGCAATTTAGGAAAAGGAAAAGCATGTTGGATGGGAAAACGTTCTGGAAACATTTGCTACATCCAGAGTCCAAACAACTCTGTCCTTCAACACTTCATCTCCAAAAGTGCTGGGAAGACCCTAAGCCAAACAGTTTCAAAACCTACATTCACTGTAAGTTCCCGCTGCCTGGGGCAAGGACTTCCCTCTGAGAAGCATTTGCTGTGGAACCAAATGCTTTTCCACTCAAAACAACAGCCAGCAGCATTCAGGATACTCAGAGGGCTCCAGATCAAACAAACATCTTTCTCTCTCTCTCTTCTCTCTCTCTCCCCTACCATGCAAACTTTCTCAATAAATTATTCGCCCACTTCGGATCAAAGCCTGTTTTTGCAGCCTGTGACCTAAAAAGCAAATAGCATCACTTAAACATGAAAGTCTTCCTCCCTGCCTGGGTCAGCTTTATTACTCATTCCTTCCCCCCTTACAGTTATTCTGTTGTTATTTCTCCTCCTCTGCTTGGTAGATCGCCCTGCGAGTCCCAACCCGCCTGAAGAGGACGGGACAGGAGGACTGGTGCGTTCACTTGGGCCCTAAGGTGAGAAAGGAAATTAGGGAAGGGGAGAAGGCAATACCCCAGGAGCCCAGGAACCAGGGCCAGGCCCGGTTGGCAACCTTCTGCCGGGCTCTTTTGCCAAATGTCCTACTGGGAATTTTACCAGTGGAGAGAGAGAGTCGGGGCTACCCTGGGAGGAGCGGCTAGGAGGTCTTAACCTCCTTCCAGGCCCAGAACTCAAGTTTGCAAACAACTTTTGTTGGGGGTATCCTAACACCTAGTCTGGACCAACCCAGGCCCCTTCCCTAACCCCTTTGGAGCTGCAATGAATGCACACACAGGACCCCCCCCCCCCAGCAAACTCTGCCTCTGGATACAACTTTGTGCCTCCACATGCACTGGAAGATGAGCAGGGAGTGAAATCTGCAGATCAGGGTTGTTGGGTGCGACATGCCCTTGGCATTAAAAAAAAAAGCTTGGAGCTTCTATTCCAGCCCCCTCTACACCAGGCCCAGCGGCCAAGCTGGTTAAAATAATAATAATAATAATAAAATTGCCCGGGTCGGCTGCAGTGACTAAAGGGATTAGAAGGGGGGTTGCGCGCGCCTCCAGCCTGCCCCTAGAGGCAATCGGCGGGATGGCAGGCTGGAGGCGCGCCGGCGTGATTCCGACCGACCGCGGGAGCTGGAAGGAGGAGCCGGAGGTAGCTGCGGGGGGCTCCGGCCCAGGCGAAAGAAGGGCACGAGGCGGTTCGGGCCAGGGGAGGCGCGCCAGGAGGTGGGTGGGCTTGGAGCCCGGGGAGGAGGAAAGATCGAGGAGCCCTCGGGGTAGCCCCGCCGAGGCCCTGGGGGAGGGGGGCGCAAGGGAGCGGTGTGTGCAGGGTTGGGGAAGGTGCTGGGCCTCTGGAAGGCAAGAGTGTGAAGCCTTTCCAGCCCGATCTTTGCAGACATCCTCACCCCCCACGGCAGCACAGCCACGAGTGGACAATCTGACTCCGGTTCATTCCTGGGGCCGGGGCAGGGGGCGTCTCCGAACCCCGGGATGGGCGGGAAGATACCGCGGGGAGCCACAAGTCTGCACCCCGGAGGGGAGGAGGAGGGCGGGAGCCGCTCCGCAGGCGCAGGCGAGTGGGTGGGAAGGAGGGAAGAGGGGAGGAAGGAGGTGAGGCCGGGAAGATGCCGCTGCGGGGGGCGGGGCGGGGCTGGGCCCGGGGATCCGGCGGCGGCGGCGGAGGGGGGGGGGGCGGGTGGGGGGGAGAAACTGCAGCATTGCTTGCTTGGGGGGCGGGGGTTGCAATGTCACTCATTGGGGGGGAGGGGGTCAGGTGCGTGTGTCCCCTGAATTCGGATCCCGCCACTGAACCCCGCTCCCCTCGACCACCCGAGGGGAGGAAGGGTGGGCAGAGGAGAGGTGGGAGGTGGCACCGCCGTCTCTCCCTCCGGCGGGACGCGAACCGGCGGAGTTGGGAGAAGGTAAACAAGGGCCACGCCCCCTGCCGTCGCCCCGCGAGCGCGCACCCGCCGCTCCGGCCCCGTTGCCGGTACATTTCCACTCTCTTCCCCCGCCGGACTCCCGCGCAGCCCGGGAGGAGGGAGGGAGGGAAGGTGGTGGTGGTGGTAGTGGTGGCGGCGGCGACTGTCCCCGACCCCCATTCCACACCCCAGGTGCTGGGACTAAGCACCCTCCACACTCACCTGGAAAGGTTGTCCCCCGCCCTTCCAAGAGGAAAAAAAAAAAAGAAAAAACACGCCAAAAAGCAACTGTCTTAATTTGTGCAAAGCCTCTGAGCCCGAGAGCCGAGCATGCTGCCCCCGCGTGCAGCGCCCGCGTGCACCCAGCGGGGAGCCAGGGGGCGCAGGGCGGAGGCGGTGACCCCCGCCCTCCCCCTCCCGGAAGGTGTCTAGGACCGGACTGGTTTTTGCACGTGAGCCCAACGCGGGGTCATGTGCACCGGCTCAACCCGGTTCGGGCGCCCGGACGTGCTGCGTATCAACAAAATGAAACTCGGGGCCACACCGGAGAGCACGATCGCTTCCCGGGTGATCGGGAGCTTCCCCCCCCTCTCCCCTTGACCACCACCCCTCACCCCGCGGGCGACCCTCCCCCTCTCCCACCCCACCTCGGCATCTCAACCTCCCCCCTTTCATCCCTCCCCCCCCCTCCCGGCACCACTCTCCCTAC